ATATTTCGGTTTAATTTCGATGTTTTTATATATATGTATATCTTTTTTTTAACTAATAAATATGATAATATCACACTTATTTTCGTTTTCTTTTTCATTCAAGAATCCATCCTCTTACGTTTAGAAAAAAAAAATATAAATTATAACTGAAATAATACAATAAGAGTAGAAGGCGTAAAAAAAATTGGACCAAAAAATATACAAGATCCATATTATTAATCTTTGACCTTTTTTTTACTCAAATCCATTGGTAGAATTCGGTCCTCACATTTTGCATACTCAACTACCTCTAGCGTCTGCACTATGATGCTCTGCAGCAGCGCTATCGGTGACGCTGCCAGCAAGGATATCTGTACCCGAGTTTCACAATTACGAAAACTATGATAGTTTTCGTGAGCTCGCACTCGTACTAAGGGTACTGATTTTATTGTTTTCGTTTCAATACAAATAAACAGTGTTTTAATTCTATCATTAAATAGTTTGCGTCTTTTTAAATTTTAAGAATATTTTGTTACTTTTCACCAAAATGGACATAGAAACATAATTTACAATTACGAAAACTATGATAGTTTAGGCGCTTAGTACGAGTTTGAGCTTACGAAAACTATGATAGTTTTCGTAAGCTCAAACTCGTACTAAGGGTACTGTGCCTGTGCGTGTGTGTGCCTGGGTACACAACCCACAGGTACATACAGGTCATATAGGTCATACAGGTCATCCCAGCATGATACTAATGTTTATGATCTTCTATTAATTTCTATGTATGGAGGAGCTCGATGGCGCAAGTGGTCAGCGCGTTCGGCTGCGATCGTTGAAGTTAAGCAACATTCGCAGTGGTCGGTCATTGGATGGGTGACCAAAAAATTTACTATCTCGAGCTCCACCGTGCTTCGGAAGGCACGTTAAGCCGTTGGTCCCGACTGCATTTGCAGTCGTTAGCACCCGCCAAACCGCACTGGGCCCGCGTGGTGGGTCATGGCCTAATCTCCCTATTCCATCCATAGGGCAGGGCTGTGCCCCAGCAGTGGGGACATTAATAGGCTGATGATGATGATGACGGCAGTATACTGCTAATCCTACACCTGCGTGACCAAACCGGGTGGCTTTGCCCCCCTAGCATGAACACCACGACATGATATATAACACGTTTTTATCACGCTCAATTGTCAAATTTACTATGGAATTTGACAGTTAGACGCGATAAAAAACGTGTAATAATGCATATTGTGGTGCTAATGCTACATGGATTGGTACTAAAATGCACTGCATTTAGCGTTCGTACTTAGAATTAAGTACCTACGCACCTTCAGCACAAAAAAATGCTTCATTTCCCGCAACCTCTTTTAGCGTGTAAAATTATCGTCAGTCAAGCTACTTATCGTCCAACTTGACGACCTCCGTGGCCGAGTGGTTTGAACGGGTTTCATGGTGTCGCCGACTCGAGAGGTCCCAGGTTCGAATCCCGGTGGGGGCAGATGTTTGTGTGATGAATACCAGCATTTGTACTCCAGTCATGGATGTTTAATATGTATTTCTATATGAATATACTTATATATGTACAGTATATGTATTCTATCCGTTACCCTAGCATCCCATAATACAAGCCTTATAGTGCTCAGTTTGGGGCTAGGCTAATTGGTGTGAGTGTTGGAAATATTTATCTATTTAAAGTCCCTGAACTTCGACGCGCAATAGTGAAAAAGGCATAATGGGAAATACATACGATATTATGTTTTCTCCGACAGCGTCTGGCAGCGCAGAATATGCAATTAATAAGCACGGAAACCCCGATAGAATTTAACGGTTATTTTTATGAAGTCAACTCGTGCCGACCTTGCGGAACAGGATTGAAGTCTAGCAAGCTAAATTTGGACTTCGGAATTCAATAAAATTAGAGGATAGTCAAATCAAAGGATTTGAGCGAACGACTTGTCTAAATTTTTCTCGTTTAAAGTACCACTCCTTTCGTGCCTCAAAAGGAAACAGGAACCATTATTTTTTTTTATTTATTTTGGTTACATGGAAGACCTATAGCTTATCTTAATATACTAGAAATGAATAGTAGCGACAAAGGGCCAATTACAGGTCCTCAAATCTAGACTTAACTTAAAATTATAAAGAAACTATTTGCACTGTCCAATGTAAAAACTCTCATAAATATAGTTTTATAAATGAGATCCTATGATAACAGAATAACAAATTACGCACATGTTAATTGCTAATACTTGTCTCTGAATTTAAATCCTGGAATAAATGTTTGTTATTATTATTATACACTAGTATAGGGCGGGCCACTAGGCCCGCCCTCGCTTCGCTTCGGTGTAGAGCTGTAGTGTAAACTATAGTTTTTGTTCTCAGGCTTGTGCTATAAAGAATGACTTTATTTATATAATTACACGTGTTATTGTGAGTCAACCATAAAAGATAGACATATGCTGTTGCGGGATATTTTTTAGACAATTTTATGTAGAATATTTCCGTCATACATGATTTCTATGTAACTTTAACCATTAAGGCTGCGCACGTGACGGAAGCTTAAAAAATGGAGTAACTTCTCCCGTTTTCCCAACATTTCCCTTCACTACTCTGCTGTTATTGATTGAAGCGTGATGAAAAGTATACTATAACCTGCCCAGGAGTATGAAGAATAATTGTACTAAGTTTCGTTAAAATCCGTCGAGTAGTTTTTGTTTCTATAAGGAACATACACACAGACAGACAGACAGACAGACAGACAAAAAATTTACTGATTGCATTTTTGGCATCAGTATCGATCACTAATCACCCCCTGATAGTTATTTTAAAAATATATTTCATGTACAGAATTGACATCTCTACAGATTTATTATAAGTATATAGATTAATTTTAATCTCCAAAAAAAACAAACGAGCAATGATACGTCTAATCGACGCTTCGCTAGTGTTTAAAAGATCTAAATTTGCCTGCTTTGATAGTGAGTTGAAGCTGCTACTCGCTCGACAAAGAAAAGCGAAAATTTGTAGAAGTAGGGGGGATACTTAAAATAGGATTAATCCTAAGGGGTTTGGGGGGAACTCCAAACAAAATCTTTGATAGGAGTTCCGGGCAGTCACCAGCCCCAGAAGCGATCCTACTGAGGAAAACTAAATCCGCAATTTCGCGACGCATCTCTAAAGAGAGAAGATGATGCAATTTGCAGAGCTCCCCGTACCGACCTGAATGATAACGTACATTTGTACGAAAGCACAGATATCATACAAATTACCTCTGGATGCCTTCAATGCGAGATATATAGGTGGTGGTTCCAGACCTGAAATGCATACTACTTATAGGATCACTTTAGTGTCCGTCTTTCTGTTTATTAAAACCCTTTATCTCTAGAACGTGTGGAGGTATTGAGTTGATACTCTCACCATATACATATATTGTTTTAAACTTTCGTGGTCACTAATATTATGGCTATTTAAATCTAAAGAAAATATAGCTAGAAAAAATCCACGCGGACCAGGCAACAGACGGGATTCGAATCCGCACCATTCGCTACCGGGCGGTAAAAAACTGATCTGATACTGTGGGTATTGTGTGTCAGAAACAGGTGCGACTAAATAGTGAGCATGTAAGGGTGAAGCCAAACGAGCGTAATTTTGTGAGTTGTGAGTCGCTTATTTTACGTTCAACTGAATTTCTGTTGAGCTGCCATACGAACGTAATTTATTCAGTTACTATTGAGCGTTAGTACGGGGTGTTCGTGTCGTCGAGTGCAATGGATCCATTAAAAATATTGTGTATTTACGAAGCATATTCAGAAGATGAGGCCAGAAAAAGAAACTGGGTAAACCCATTGAATAGTCAGAGGCTGATATGTGGACAGTTCCATACTTTATATGAACGTTTATGTGCAAATCCAGATATGTTTGAAAAGTACTATCATATGCTATTACGTGTTTTTCAAGAATTATTACACCACGCAACTTGTAACAAACTGTTGCTTCCCCACTCCCCTTCCTTGCCCTACCCTCACCCCGACCGAAATTCGGACGAGCTTATGCGCATTGAGTCGGCAGACTACTCATTTTGCGTTGTCGTGTGGCACCAACTGCCTTTTTGTATGAAACCGAATGCAGCAGAATTTCTGCGACCGAAATTCTGCGACTCACCACTCACAAAATTACGCTCGTTTGGCCTCACCCTAACCAGAACCCTACCCTCTGAGATGTGGTTACATTTCAGAGGATAGACCGATATGTCTGCCTATAACACCTACCCGCAATAACTTCAGTTACTCCGTGATCATTACGCTTGCAACAATATAATACATAAAAAAAACAAGGAAAGGACCATGATAACAATCAAGTTGATAGCTATAATTAAACAATATAGGAACTCAGGTCTATGGTCCCTTGAAGCTATGAAAAAAAATACACTTCAGGTTAACGTAAAAAAAACGACCTTTTATGTTGCGTGCCTACAAATTTGTACAACCCTCGGTGGTAAGCCCGTCTTGCACTGCAAAAATCATGGTTTGTCCATTACCAGCTAATATTAAAGGATAAATCCCAAATATTTTTAATAATTGTTGCTACTTTATATCATTGATCATGTTTGTATGAGCCAATTATACACAATCTATAAACAAAAATTTGACTTTTGGAACATAAATCTATATTGCACAGTATGGACTTGGATGGTGCAGGCTAGGCGAGAAAAAGTGTATGATATTCTAGTCAGACTTTGTCGCGATTTTCCGTCACGACGGTCAGCTGTTTAGTAGGTAGCGTATTGTGTGTGCAATAGTGTGTAGATGTGTATTTATGTTTATTTTTAACTTTGTTCTAACTGAGTGTTCCACATATGCTCACATATGCTTTTTTTATTTATTCAACTTTAGTAGGTTATTGTGAGGTATTTCAAGAGAAATCAAATAATAATTGTGTATATACTAAAAAATAATTTGTAACATACAATAAGCGTTATTTAAAATAATTATATAAATTTATGAAATAAAGAATACAATACTCACTTGGCCCAGTGACCTCATGTAAGAAGCTAGATTAGTAGAGTACTTTGAGAACCATTCGTACTCATCATCGGAGAGCAATTCCCTGACATCAGGAGGCAATACAGATCCAAACTCCCACCGTAAGGTCTTTATTTTCTCCATCCGACTGTACAAGTATGCCAAGAGGCAGCGCTTGTTACGTTCTAAGGCTGAATGTCGCACTTGAACTGTTGTCCATAGAGATTTATTTTCTGAGGTTGCATTCCTGCAATTACAATTTGTACCTTCAAGACACAATTCAATTATTGAAAGATGCAAATGATAATAGTAGGTATAGTACTTAAAAAATAAAATGAAATTAACACAATTGCAAAATTAATATTCACAAATTTAAGTAACTTACGCATCATTCATATTCATTTTAAATAAAGTTTGCATTTCTTCTAAAATTTGTCTTATTTTTTCATCCTGTAATCAAACCAGTTATTCTAGAAATGAAATATGATAATAAGAAATCGTGTCTCTTTGACAAAGAGCAATATTATAGTGAGTAAGTAATCATTGTTATTTTATTTTTTATTAGTAGATTAAATCTAAAGAAAAGTTTTACTAGAAAAAAAAAACACGCAGGCCAGGCAGCGGACGGGACTCAAACCCTACCACCACCTACCACGGCCCTGATGGCCGCGTCAAAATTTTCCTAGCCTTAAGCTGTATGGCAGCGCCATCTCTTTGCATTGTAGATAACCCACAATACACAAATAAAAACATAACTAGTAGATTAATTACATGAATATATTACACAACACTACAAAACATTCAGCAGCATCATCATCAGCCTTTCAATGTCCCGTGTTGTCAACAGTGCTGTTGGCGCGATGGGGTGCAATGACTCTAGGGTTAAGAGGGCCATGGCCCAGGGCGGCAGCTTCGTGGGGCCACTGCAAGAGCTGCGGGGGGCGCCAGAAGCCATATGATGACATTCGATGCTGACAGATTTGATTTACCAATCCTAGATTCTTAATTTTGCTATTCATGGGCGCTTCCGTAAGCATTTTTTGTGCTTAATAGGCATGGCGTTTGACGACAATCTCGCCTGATGGAAAGCGATGATGAGGACTAAGATGGTACACGCCTGCATAGAAGATGCCTGTTCACTATGCCCAAAATCAAGTGGAAAATCTTCTGTGCCCAACCGCTTTACTTAGCACCAGGTTAATAATTTATAATGATCAAATACTTGCATTAAAAGGATCAATAGTATCTTGATTTCTTTCAGCTTCTTTGAGTAATTCAATAACCTTCTCTGCGAACATTTTGTTATTTGCCTAGTAGCAATGATATTTTGCAATGCTAATTTGTTAATAATAAGTTGACAAAAACTATTCTATTCTATTTTTGTAAAGGCTGGCTGTTGTCTCCAACCAAAGAGTAAAGTAAAGTATACCAATCTGCAACCTGCTTTGTGTTTACATTTTACATGCGTGCATGACATTGACAGATGATGCCTTGCCAGCTGTCTATGAACAGTTAGCCACACAGTTAATTTTTCACAATCAATTCTGAATCTTATAAAGAACGCAATAAAGTTTGTAATCATTACAAGATATTTGACAGTTTTGGATAACTTGACATGTGGCGGTATGTACAAGATTTTTTCATTCGGATACACTTGGACGTACTATACAAACAGGACTGGCAATGAGTACTTTGCCCGATAAAACGGACCGAGTGAAAAATAGAAAACGAAGGCCTCTTATCTCTTTTTTATGTAAACAGCATGAAACTTTTATTTTTAAGAAGACAAACATTAAAACTAAGCTTTTCAATTGTCAATCCAGTTCAAGACACACCAGAAAAACTTCATCTGAAAGCCCTTTTAAGACGTCATTCAAATATGTCATGAATGTTATATCATGCAAGAATCTTACGTTTGAAGAACATTTTTTGTTTGTAGAGTGAATAAAAGTGAGAAATTTGAAGTCGGTGAAGTTATTTATTAAATAATAAGTTATAATATCAAGATACCTAATCTCAACAAGTGAGTTGCAATTAATTTCTTGATACTAGTTTGTTTTTGTATTACTATTTTTTATTTATATCCCAACAGTCACATAAAGTTAGATAAAAAAGCGAGTGTGCTTATCACCACTCGACTGAAGTGAAACTTCTTTAGCTCCATCTGTATGTATATATATGTGTATGTGTGTACAATATATACATGTATAGCTACATATACATATTTCATTTACTAGCTATAAGAGAATGAGAGAAAGAAAATGTGCGCGCGAACTACTTTCTCTTGCTTATATCCCCCACTCAACTGCCGTTCGGCCCGCCTTAACACATTTTTCGTAACGCGTAACGCATTCGCAAGCTTACCCTTGAAGTTTCGTATTCGTTTTCTATATTAATATATAGTAGTAATTGTATTCCCAATTGAATTTTGAACTGTAAATTGGGCTTTGTTCTGTAACCCATTCCGTTTACCGTGGCATAAGGACAGACAGACGATGGAATGTCAGCAATAGGGCTACGTTTTTACCCTTTGAGTATGGAACCCTAAACCTGAATAATCGAAATCGAACAACAATTTATATTTAAATAAAAATACATAAATAAGAACCTCCTTTTTAAGTCGGTTAATAATAAAGTACCAGTGATCGTTTATTTACTATACTCAGTACAGCCATGTGAAAAGTTTTAATATTTGCTACTGTCAGTCTACTGCAAATTGACTGCAAACCTATCGTGGTCTCACTATAGTTTGACCATAGATAAGGGTTCGACCATAGAGTAACTGGAATATTCGTCTTATTGGAGTACGCTACGCAGACACATGCGTATCCGAACGGCTATCGTAAATCTATGGAAATTCCTCTTGAGTATGCGATCCCAAACTTGATCAACATCGTTCATTTTTATTGTCAGACATCTTAGTTTTATTTTCATTGCACATTCGTTGTTGATACGGAAAGGTTGTAGGTAGGAGATATGAAAACCAAGTTCAATGTTCGTTCGGTGTTACGTTTAGGAAATTGTGGTTTTATTTGACAGTGCAGACACGTGAATAAGTGCAGTGAATATTAGCAAAAATGAGTGCGCAAAAGAATGTCGATACCAAAATTCCGGATGATGGAAACACGGATTCTGGTTTCCTTTCCGGACCTATTGACCCTCTAGACTCTGGTGACCTAGGTGCGCCTTCAGATAGGATTAGTGGCACAGTGACGTGTGATATTACCTCAGAGGAAGAGAATCCAGATAGTGGTTTAGATTTGTGTACAAGTTTTTCAAATTTGGACTTGAATACACCTTTACCTACGCATTCTACTAGTTTAAGTGACAAAACACAACTCCAGATCCCACCTCAAACACGTTTACTTTTTAAACAAGATGCAGATGGAGACACGTAAGTAATTCTACCTTCAAAGTTACCTTCAATTGAAATGTCATAATTTATTTCACGCGAATACCTTTTTTCTGGTAATTACCGAGCAATCTCTCCCTTACCGTGTCTCTCTCACTACGGGATATTGGCGAAATTTCTGTGTGAAACGGAAACTGCCACAGAACAAAAAAAAAAAAAAACCTAATTTGAGATAGCAAGGTTGCAAATAAAACCAAATTTAACGTAGTATCACTGAAGATTCCTTGTTTTGGTTATGAAGTATGTTAAAGGTACAGTTACACAACAGAGACAAATCTAAAATATATAATTCTATGAACACACATAGGAATCTGCTATAATCCAAATAATAGAGAGAAGGATAGAGAAGCAGTCTACTATTATATGGTATTTTTATACAACAACAACTGCAATAATAAATGAAATTATTGGCTTAGTTTTCTGTTCATTTGGTTTGATTATAGTTGTAAGAACAACAAAAGCGTAAAACATAGATACAAATATGAAAGTCATTGAGTATCTGTATCTACGTACTTTGTTTACATAAACTTAACCCTTTGCTAGGCTGGGAACCCTTAAATGAGTCTTTACTCTAATCATCTTTTACCAGTGTATAGTCCATGATTGCCATTTTTAGTAAGAAAAATAAAATGCAAATATTTCTGCTTTTTGTTATATTACCTATTGAGATCACTATAGTTTTGTATGTAGGTACTGCTGAGACTTCATATTAATTTAATGAAAGTTATTTTTAATTAATCTTAATTTTGTATTGTTTTATTTCTTTAAAGCCTCTTTTTAAATTATGAAGTTGGATTTTAGTGTTAAGTTGAAACTGTCATCTAGCAATTCATAATATAATTAGGTTTTTTTTTTCAAAATAATTTAATTTATACAGAACTGTAAATTTGAACTTGTTGTCTTTTTCTTCTTGTCTTTTAAATCTACTTTCATTCTTAATCTTCACTTTATATCAATGGCAGACTGTTTGGTTTTTTATTTTGACTATGATACCCAACTTATAATTCTGATTTAATATTACTCTCAGTAGTGTAGTGGTCAGTATCTTCATTTGATGTGGCAAACTGGGTTCCAATTCCCCACAAGAAACCCAATATGCTCAAGATATTGTAGATGAGAAAGAGCTCATCTATTATCTTTCTTTTCTATTCAAGTGTATTTCATTTGTATATGTTATGAATATACCTATACTTTCATATCATATAGAAACAAAAGGATTTTATTTCTACTACTTGAAATATTTATTTACATTCATATAAGTACTAAATAATTTAGTGAAGGAGATCGCCAAAGTAGATTTATGTAATCACTGTCAGCTTATTATATTCTTTTCTCACAATTACTGTATTTTTCAGACAATTACACATAGCAGCGGTTCACGGCTCAGAGAAGTTCGTTGGCATCCTCATACACTTATGTCCTGATAAGTCATTACTGAATTTACAAAATGACTATAGACACACGCCACTGCACTTGGCTGTGATGGGTGGATATGCAGTCGTAGTAAAGATGCTAGTAATAGCAGGGGCTTCTCTAGATGTGAGAGATGTTTGTGGGAGAACGCCACTCCACATTGCTGCTGAGACTCGTGACGTGGAGTGCCTTAAAGCGATGCTAGCACCCATAGAGGAGCAACCCCACAGAAAGCTGGCTTCAGTCCTCAACCAAAAAGACTTCAATGGTAAGTGTTTAATCCTTTTTTTACGAAGCAAAGCAATGATGAATGAATCCCTCACATTCATAATAAGTACTAACGAAATACAATTTCAATCCTACTTAAAAACTATTTGCAGTAAATTTTTTTTTTATTTATTTACTAATTTAGTACACACACAATAAAATACTAATACGGCACTGCTTATTTCATATTGAAATTTCTTCCAGCAGGCCCGCGAAAGGAAAAAACATAAAATAAAAGGTCGTCAGTGTGTGCCTCCTGAATAAAAATGACAAAATACAATACTTACATAAACAAAACCTACATATAATATCTGCATAGACATACTAATAAACATATATACTAAAATAAAATATACAAGTTTATTTTCAGTGAACTAACCTCGAAAGTTTATTAACCGATAAACCATTAGGAATAGCCATCGCAACAGCTTGAAACTCTTCAAAAATCCAACAATTGCGATTCTAATAAAATGGGCAATTTAATGACGAAGTAAAATATTTTAGGTAGCTACAAACTTATAACGAACATAATCAACGTCTGTTGAACTGTATTGTCCTAACTGAATCAGTTTGTAAAAACCCATCTAATGGTTTTCCCAGTAGTCATTCACAGAAATAGTTTTATAATCCTGTTAAAATACGATCGATACATTTGTATATTCATGGGTATCATAATAAAATGAGCAGTTGTAATTTAGGATATTTTGAAATAACAATACTTGATGTCTCCATCTTTATTTTTTGTCGGCTAACATGAACTACGAATGATATTCTTCGCCTCGTGTAATGTGAATTAATAAATTGCAGTAGATATCGCTTCCCACAAAACCTACAGCTCTTATTTAAACTATTTACCGTTTATCAAAATTGTTCATTTTATTGTGTGACAAATGTTTTGCATGAATCGTTTAACAAAGATACCCACTGTATATTTACACCTGTACAAGTATTACTCCTTGGTAATTCCTATCGATCATTCGCCAACCATAAAAGGGAGTTTGTGGTTTTTCTGTTGAAGCATGCCTTTGTTAGCTAAAGAACTGGTCATTCGGATGTTGTCTCGCCGGCATCATTAGTTAATCCTCATTGTGGTTTGGGAAAGCTATTTGATCAGAAATACTCTATCGAAAGAATGGGGCGATGTTACTCTTTTGTGCTTATGTCACGCTTGCACTCTCTAAAAGGCGACTGTTGCACTGAAACATGTCTCTGAGCGCCTCGCTTCGTGTTTACGCGCCAACGTTATTTTAGCGGTTAGTTCCGTCAAGGCCTCCCCATTCAATGTCACTCACAGTCGCTATCCGAATACGCCCTAGCTTTGAAAGATAACCGTCTACCTAACGCGACATTGGAAATTCCAATCGCCTCCGAGATATTACCGCGCAGGTAGAAATATACCGCGTCGTATTATCTCTGGGTTTCCCGACGCATTCTCGACAATAGCCTCGGGTTGCCACGAAACATTCTACAGTATAAACTCCGTGTGCCCGTCGATTTACATATGGATTAACCCGAACTGCTCTCCTCGTGAAGAAAACTTGTTTTTTCTTCAACATATTGTATGACAGTCGTTTCTTTATGATAGATGGGCACATAAGATGTTTTACGTTCGTACGCCGCACCGCTAGCTCGTGTTTCTAATTAGAAATCTAATAATATTTGAGGCGATTGTTCGTAATACATTCTGCGGTGTCTGCCGTGAGTATTTCCAAATGTAATCGAGTCGGTCACATAACGAGGCGAGGTGCGCGTTAAGTGAAAGCGGAGTTGCTGGCCATCTGCGCCGACCTGGGATAACCCAGTCAGCGGACTGTCGTAAATGTAACGCTGTTACGTGGTGCACCCGCCGAAGAACTCTTGCCCGCGTTTCGCACCCATATCGTTACGTCATTTGCTAAGGCCAGCCATTAATAAATAATAAATAAATATTTCCGACACACACCAATTAGCCTAGCCCCAAAGTAAGCACTATAAGGCTTGTGCTATGGGATGCTAGGGTAACGGATAGAATACATATACTGTACATATATAAGTATATTTATATAAAAACATATTAAACATCCATTACTGGAGTACAAATGCTCGTATTCATCACACAAACATCTGCCCCAACCGGGATTCGAACCCGGGACCTCTCGAGTCTGCGACAGCCATGAAACCCGGCGTACAAACCACTCGGCCACGTAGGTCGTCAAAATTGAGAAACCATTATCGGCTACAAAAAAATCTTAATCGTTATTTATCGTGTGCGATTTATAAATAGGCATCTTTTTTCAACAATAACTACATGAATGGAAAAAAATGTGTTATAATACAAGGATTCTTAAGTACATTTATTAAAATGATGGCTGTCCAACTCTGCCCACTAATAGATTACACATATTATCTATGCTTCGAACTTAAAACGCTTTATTATTTTGTAAATATGTACATATATAATCTATCGTAGGTACGAAGCCCAACATGGGATATGAATAATCATCATCCAATCATTCAGAGATGAAAGTGTCGAACAAATACTAAACTAAATAATAATGTCTTCAAAAGAATAGCTATAAATTTGTTAGTTAGTGGTGGTAAAACCCCAGGTGTGTTCAAAGTTAGAGTGTACGATACGTAGCTACGTGACAGCCGTTGATTGCGGCGATAAGTGGGTTATTCCCACAGCACGTGAAAGCTGCGCGGCGCCCGCGCACGGTACTTCCTAATTATGAACATACGAACACCTCTGTATCATGTATCACAACAGCTAAAGATTGGTGCTAAAATTACGGTCCAAATTTAATGAATAATTTCTTTCTACAGTTTCAAAACTAGATACACAATAGATCTAAACTAAAAGCTACTGTCTTCATTAACCAAATCCCTGATAACAACACACACTGATTAAAAAAAAATGGAGCTCAAGTTAGGTCGTTTCAATTGTGATAAAAAAAAATTTAACGTTATTTGGTTAGCACAGAATATAATGATATACCTATATGTCAGATTCAATGAACTCTGTTGTGATTGCGACGCTTTTGAATGTTAATGCATGTAATGAATTCCATTTAATGACATCACTTACCTATTTTTTATGGATGATGAGTTTAAATCTAGCATAAAATACTACTCGAACAAAGTAGTAGTATTATCTGCCAACGGTGTTGTACTACGATGTATCCCAAGTCCTTTAAATGTACTGAAGTTCTATAGCTCATGTATTCACAAATTTTGTGACTATTTGGCGGAAACATTTAATACCTCCATATAATTACATCGCGTCTTATTATAACTTAATCATACACGAAAAAGTAAGATGAATCGCCACTTTTAATGGTTTCCTTTCATTGTTAACATCAAACTGAAACCATCATCCATTACTTCTATTTTTACCATGGACTCATTTCATTGTATATCATTTGGAAAACTCGAGATCCTCATACCACAAAGAGCGTGGAAGGAATGTGCTTATTAAAACGCGCAATACGTGGTCAATTCAGTTCTAATCAATATAGGGGTGATAACGGGGTACAGTACACGAAATTCTATTTAGTGCGTCAGTTAGATGATCAAAAAATATTGGACACGTACATATTTTTCTTTGGGCAATCAACCAAAAAATGACAAAGTTATAGCGCGACAAAGTTTGGGAGTAGGGGCTCGTGACGTCACTTTTGAGTGAATTTTCACTTATAAGTGTACTCAAACGTGACGTCATGCGACTTTTCAAATAATCAATATATCTCTGCAATGTTTATATTATGTGAAAAAAGAAAAAATACGTGTCCAAAACTTTTTGATAATCTACCTGCTAAACGAAGAAAAAAAATAGTCATCATCCCTATTAGGTCCAGAAGTAGATGTTCAATAACTCAGAAAGACTATATCCAACCTCTTCCGCATTGCTGGATCGGTTCGTTCAAATAATAACATCTCCTTTGGAACAACAACCGAACGCTCTCTCAATACTTACTGTCTGTAATGGTTTGTGGAACGCGGGGTTTTCCAATGGCCGACCTCGTTAATTTACCAATGTCCCACTCGCCATCAGTTTGTGTTTACATGAGAATTTCAACATCGTTCGTTACCTCAAGCTCGGGGTTTTCACAAAAAAAAAACCCAACTGTAAACTTTACAACGCATCATCAGATTTCTATGTCATTCCATCCATATTATATGCTATATCTTTTGAGATGAATGTGGAAATAATCATATCATAAGAATTTCCATATGGTTCGCACATACACAAAGTAAACTTATTCGTTAAGATATGTCTGAATCTGTTTGAGTGTTACTTCGTAGGTTTCCTTTGAAGAAATACCCATTAAATCAAATATTGTAATCTACAGATCATAAAGTCACAGAAGCGTTTCACTAGCAAAAACTGTAATTTGAGTATCGGCCTATTTAGCAATCATAAACAAACTCCCTTTTGTTCTTTATTAGGAAATAGGGGAAACTACCCAATCATTGGCACTCTTCCTATTATTGGCACTTTTGAGTTTAGTTCGAAAAAACCAGGAAACAATAGATTGTAGAAATAATGCTGCCAATTTTCAAATTTCGAGCCCTTACCGCCAAATTATCGTAAGCGACACTTTTGTCGAAATGCGTTTTTTGTGGAAACTAATATTTTAAACCGTAACGGATCCATCTCTGTTGATATTTCCCTCCAAAAGAACACCGTAATAATATAATAGAGGGAAGAATAGAGGGAAATATCAACAGAGATGGGTCCGTTACGGTTTAAAATATTAGTTTCCACAAAAAACGCATTTCGACAAAAGTGTCGCTTACGATAATTTGGCGAGTGTCGCTTACGATAATTTGGCGGTAAGGGCTCGATTTCGAAACCATACTAGGTTTTTCTTTTCAATATGTAACGACCTTGAATAATCTAATGTCTCCTTGTTTTTTCGAATTAAACTCCAAAAGTGCCAATGATTGGGTGGTTTCCTTTACTTATTATTCATCGCTGTGTGATCAGTGCTACGTTTTGGGAGACGGTGAAAAGCCGAGCTCCCAGCGTGTCTATATTTGGCGAGGACAGTGGTCGCCGGTCGCTCCGCCCTCCGCATTGTTGGGAAAACCCCATGCCCCCTCCCCGCACCCCGCCACTCGGCCCGCGCCACGTACCTCGCCAGCTCGCCACAGCTGTGACGACACGCATCTCATCTATGCATACTATATTACCTTGGACAAAGGGTTACCATATCTCAGGCTTTGTCCTGAGATTTCAGGCTTTTTGGACTCTTCTCAGGATTGCGGCTGGATTTTGCAAATCTCATGAAATCTTAGGATTTCTTGAATTTCCAATAATATACAGCTTACGTTTTAAAGGTCTCTTTAATAAAAAGTGAGACAAACTAAAAATAATCTTCTATTGGTAATAATTGCACAATTAAAATCAGTACTTTAATCAGTTTTATCATACTTAATATGTGAAGATACATTTTTAAGTAAGGTTTTTTCTTTAATCATGGATTCATATAATGCCCCACATGTTAAGCTCCTCAAATTATATTGATTTAAAAGTATAAGCAGAGTATAAACGATAATCTTACGACTTTTTTAAATTGTTAAATACTTTTGAGAGAAATTGCTCAAACTGTAAAAAATCTCAGGATTTTTCAATGGAAATCAAGCCTTTTCTCCGGACTTTTGATTTTATCATCTGGTAACCCTACTTGGACATGTTTAACATAATCTCTAGAAACGTCCCTCCCAATCGAAACTGGTTCAACGTAGATTCTGTTCCGTCTCTCAATTGTAATTGTAGTACTTATTGATAAAACGTTCCCATTGAGAAGGAACTGCCATAGAAATTGCAATAGTAATTAAGTGCAATTCTCTAGGATGCGTGGCACGCGACGAGTTGCGTACGCGCAGAACTGGTTATTATTACTACTACCGCATTGAGTATTAATGTTTTGTACTAACCTAACATACACAGTGCCTACCTACATCCGATTCATCATTCTCGCCATTGATCAATCACCGATTTAAAAACTGGCTTTTAAACGAAGCTATGATATGGATACATGTCTAGTTAGAAGGAACTGAGAAGAACCAGATTATTACATCATTACCAACATCATTACACACTATGCAATCGTCAATGTAATTTTATTAATTATAATAATCTCTTATCTATTAGACAAGTCCGTCCGTCTGTGGTGCTGTTTCAGCGGCCAAACCGTAAGAGATAGATAAAGAGAATATTTAAGTTATAAGTCAAGAATAGTCTGATAAGACTACAAACCGGATTTGAGTAACGTAGCACTTCCGGTTTTCGAGAAATCAGGTTTTGGTGAACATTTGGTTCACTGGTTTGCTAGTAGTAGTTAATTCACTAAGATTAGATTTAGAATCGGAAATTACTTCGGTATTTGGTCGTGTTTCGCAAATGTATTTTTATATACTGACAAATAAAATGTTGACACAAAACAACAGATTTTATTACGAAGTGCATGATTTATAAAAAACGTAAGCTTGGACATGATTCAATCGACGATTCACCAGATACCTAACTTCCTGGGGTATACCGTACGCGTCATGATTTCTTTGCCAAGCATATTTTTAAAAGTGCAACCTATATATCTTGGATTATAATACTGTGTTGTTTTCGAATACAGCGTTCTATTTCGGCGGCGTTTTAAATAAACCTGGCTCGAGTCCAATATCCACAATCGAAGCTGGGCAAGTGCTGCATATATCTGTATAGTGAATGCATTTTACTTTTATTAAATTTAAAATGAGTTGTAAATCGCTCTGAGGTCTACATTAGTGGGCGAGCTGCTTTCCAGATTCGGAAATCTACAGTGAACGATAAAATTTAACGGCTATGACATTTAACTAAATTTAGAATAATGATAATAATTTCGTAAATATTTTTTTTATTTTATTTCCAACACCCACACCAATTAGCCTAGCCCCAAAGTAAGCACTGTAAGGTTTGTGTTATGGGATGCTAGGGTAACGGATAGAATACATTATACTGTACATATATAAGTATATTTATATAGAAATACATATTAAACATCCATGACTGGAGTACAAATGCTCAAAGATTCATCACACAAACATCTGCCTCTACCGGGATTCGAACCCGAGACCTTTCAAGTACAAACCACTCGGCCACGGAGGTCGTCAAGAGTTATTTTTTGTTTCAAACTGTTAAGATTTTCCTGCGCTCTTGCATACGTCAACGTATCGAGATAGCCGTCGCGCGATGACTGGACTGAGGGGGTCATTCGACTGTGAACTTGAATAAAATGAGATAATTTATAATATGACTTATAAAACACGATGGTCATATCCGCCATGGTTTTACTTGTTTGGCCCATGATATCACCGTGCCGTTTGCGAGCTATTTAGTTAGGTATACCTACTTAATCTTTACACCTAACTAGTCCTTTTTTTATATGTTTTTTATTAATTCAAAATAATCAGGTGTCGTTCAAACTAAGTATGATGAAATATTACAGCCGTATTTTATCCAAAAACAAACAACTTTATCTGGCATGCCCATCCTAAAACAAAACCATTTTGTTATTTATTACAATATTCAATTGACGCTAACTGATGATGAGTCTTTGTTAAAAATATATATGTTATACCAAATGAATTAGCTTATTTAAAAGTTACAACCTTGAATTTCAACCGGTTAGTTTTCCACAGTTATTACTTGACGCGTTTAGAGACGTAAAATCCATTGGTTTACGTCAACTAGCACATGCCGATGTTAAGAGACTCGTTGGAATGGAAAATCCCTCGCCTAACGCAAATCATTTAAGAAGTCATTAGGTAAATGTGGATCTAGAAAATGCTAATGGATGCCGTTTGCTTGTTGCAGGCCAGACATGCGTCCACGTGGCTGCGAATGCGGGACACTTAAAGACGCTACAAACTCTAGTCTACTACGGAGCCGACATCAACGCCAAAGTAAGTTCCTTCATAAGAAGTAACCAAAGTGTTGTGTCCATTAAACTAAGTTCTTTTTTTTGTGTCTGGTAAATGCCTTACGCATCCTTCAACCACGGGGGGAGCGAGAAGAAGGTATGTGGGACTCCTCCCTGTCCCCTTCAGCCAGCCCTGGAGCTCGCTGATGTGAACAGGGCCCTACCTACGCCCTGAACAGGGCCACTAAAAACCTGACAAGACTCCTGCACCGTCTGAGTGGCGTGCACTTGGAGAGGCCTATGTCCAGCAGTGGACTATGATAGGCTGTTGATGATGATGATGACTCCTGCACCGTCACCCGACACGCACTATGAGGACCGCGGTCCCCCTAGTGCGTGCCGAGAGAGCGGGTGTGGTCGCGGAACCCGTCTCCGAATGGCCGCGCTATTACAGTACCCCTAGCACGAACCATTACCTAAGTCGAATTGTTTGCGAGTGCGAAATATCAATGTCCAATTTTCTATGGAAACTTGAACAGCAGCGCCACAAAGTACGTAACCAGAACTAAAAATCAGTACACATTTGACAATGATATTTCGCACTCGCAAACTATTCGAATTCGATATTGGTACAGTATAACACATTGCGATATATTTTAAATTTTATTAATGTGCGTTCCTTCGTGTCTCTAGTCACAAACAAACAACAAAGTGTTATAGATCTTATTATCAGAAGCTATTTGCCTATTTCTATTTATGGAGACCTTCACTTAATTTCAATATTGGGCTTCGGAAATACATTTTAGGAAATAAATGTGCGTAATAATCTAACTTAAAATTCCTCAAATTCTTTGTTACTATAATGAGAAAATCATTTGAGTAGTATCTTTTGGAATCAATTATTTTGAAAATCCTTAGGATGACTTTTTCCCTTAGCATAGTCACTTTTGTCCTTCTAAAAATATATACACGTGGTCGTATTGTCATTATCATCTACATACATGTTAATTGACAGTGCATTATATTAATAAATCTTATACCTATTGGTATCTTTATTTTTGCAGTAAAAACAGAATCGCATCGAATAATATTAGGTATGTTTACAATTGCGTTGTATGTTACGAATGGAATATCCCACAACGCGACAAATTTGCAAATTCAGTACGATATTTCTGGGAACTGGTGATATTTCTCACATTTGTGATGACTAGATGGCATGAGTCAAACAGGAACCTCAAATCCTTCTCAGCGTCACCGTGCTAGGAACAATTATTTTCGACTTATATTATATACCAATTCAAATCTTTATATATATAATTCTTCTGTGAGTGTGTATGTCACTGAACTTCTCTTAAACGACTGGACCGATTTTGATGAAATTTTTTGTGTGTGTTCAAGGGGATCTGAGAATGGTAATTTTCATCAAAATGGTCCAGAATGTTTTAGCTTCTTAAAAAAAGTTTGAAATTTTCAAATTAAAGACGTGTAGACAGGACAACGTCTATCGGGTCCGCTAGTACTATATAGAAAGGTAATAATTGTAAGTGACACCATTGATATTATGGCCAGTTTAATGGTTATACGTCTCGTCTCTATGATCAAGGATTTTATTGCGTACCGGAGATTATAAAGACAGGCTTGCAGGCAGGCAGGCAAAAGTTCATTTATGACTGCTAGGAAAACCCGTTCAGCTGTATAGGCACAGTGGAGTTTACGCAAGAGTTTTTCAATTTTCATTCAACAACAACGCCATTGTTTCACTAAACGGATATCAATGACGTCAATGCGTTTGAGTACTTCTTGAATTAATTAACTGATAGTATGATGCTTGTTTTCAATATAGGTATGACCAATAGCTGAATCCCGTAAAACGAGATAAATTGTGATAACCTATTGTCCGCCGGCATAATATTTTAATGTTTAAATCTTTCGCGAGGTTGACAGAGCGTTAATATTGCAACGATTTGTGAAATTGCGTCATTTGATACGTCGCAATTGCAAATAACACTCCCTTAATTATGCAAAACCCACACTCCATTCACGTGGCAGCTACCAAACATGTCGCTACTTTTCCCATTGTACCGATCATTCACCATGCCTCGCCCGTCGTCCTTGTTTTTATTCGAATGGGAAAGCAAAACGATGCGATACTGTAGAATAGAATAGAATAATCTTTATTTGCATTAAATAGGGTTTTCTTAAGGTGTTTGTTATATAAAGCATATGTTAAAAGCTAAGAATCTTAAACCTATTTAGCCATATTAATAGCATGCAAAAAAATCTAATTAAATTTACCTATCATTCATTTAATAACAAGTATTTTATCATTATAATTAAAATTCAAATTTATGTCAATATTAATTACAATTGTCAATGTCAGTTCAAAATAAAACTATTTTATGTAAACACAAATTTCTCCGTTGTAGTTAGATTTTTTTCTGAGTTATATAGTGTTTGACCATTAGGGGCTCAGTCAAGCCACTCCACCACTAGTCAGACGCAGCCACAAATCGAAGCCGTTCAGTAGCTTAATGTGCGCTTTATAGCTATTAACGGGATTGTTACCATGTACCTTGTTTTTTATGAGTCTCCGATATTTCGGCACTGTTGCAAGCGCCATGATCACGGAGTAACTGAAGTGATTGCGGGTAGATGTTATTGGCAGACATATCGGTCTATCCTCTGACGTCGTCTTTTACTGCGCTCGATACCCCTACCATTGGTCACATTCTCATTATTCACTCGCACTTGCTCCCGACACACACTCACAGTATCAGATCGCGGACCGACACTTTTTGATTTTTGCGGTTTTTGCACATACGAACCACTGGATTCCAGACACTTGAAAATTTAAACCCATCCTCACGATTGAAATTCAATTGCAAAAATCAAAAAAGTGTCGTTCCGCGATCTGATACTGTGAGTATTGTGTGGCGGGAACAAGTGCGAGTGAATAGTGAGAGTGTGACCAATGGTAGGGGTATCGAGCGCAGTAAAAGACGGCGTCAGAGGGTAGACCGATATGTCTGCCAATAACATCTACCCGCAATCACTTCAGTTACTCCGTGATCATGGCGCTTGCAACAGTGCCGAAATATCGGAGACTCATAAAAAACAAGGTACATGGTAACAATCCCGTCAATAGCTATAATGTTAGTGACCATGAAAGCTTAAAACAATATAATGGGCGCTTGTTCTCATAGGAACCCCGCAACGACGACGACCGCAGCTGAATGCCAATTGTATATTACAGCGTTGTGTTGTTTCGTTTGTTAGGAAGGTCTGGCGGGCTGGACAGCGCTGCATATAGCGGCGAGGCGCGGCGATACTCGCACGACGCAGTACCTACTGGAGCAGTGCTCGGACGTGGCGCGGTCGCAGCGCGACTACGGCGGTCGCACGCCGCGCCGCCTCGCGCGCCGCACCAAGTGCGAGCGCCTCTTCGCCAAGTACGCGGACGGCGACTCGGACACGGACGATGACGATGACGTGAGTACCTCGCTTACACTGAAACCTGTATACTTACACTTTACCCTGTATACATACACTTTTATGTAATTACACTTTACCCTGTATACATACACTTTTATGTAATTACACTTTACCCTGTATTCTTCTTCGGCGCTACACTCTTGACAGAGTGGTCGTGGTCGTCACATCAGGATTGGTGGCTCGCTTGACAATACGCCGCCATTCGTCCCGCACTGCGGCCTTTCTAGTGCACTCGTGAGGTGGATCGTTCAGTGCCGCTTTTATCTGGGGGCCAATCGCCTAACGGAAATGCTTTGGAAAACGCTAACGCTTACGATTTTATATTGTTATTTCTAGCCGCCTGAGGTATTCAAATGCCTCGCGCTCTTTCTTTTTCTTTTGCATTGGTAATAACAATATTAAAAAAAATGAGCGTGAGGTATTCGAAAACCTCAGGGCCTAGAAATAACAATATAAAATCGTAAGCGTTAGCGTTTCCCAAAGCATTTCCGTTAGGCGATTGGCCCCCTGGTCAATCCAGCGCATTGGTGATCTGCCGCGCGCCCTTACGCCCTCGACGCCGCCCTGCACCACCAGTCCTTTTATTACCCTGTATACATACACTTTACCCTGTATACAGGAGGAACTCGATGGCGCAGGCGGCTCTAGCGCGTTCGGCTGCGATTGTTGAAGTTAAGCAACTTTCGCAATGGTCGGTCATTGGATGGGTGACCAAAAATCTTCTATCTCGAGTTCCTCCGTGCTTCGGAAGGCACGTTAAGCCGTTGGCCCCGGCTGCATCTGCAGTCGTTAGCACCCGCCAATCCGCACTAAGCCCGCGTGGTGGGTCATGGCCCAATCTCCCTATTCCATCCATAGGGAAGGCCTGTGCCCCAGAAGTGGGGACATTAATAGGCTGATGATGACCCTGTATACATATACTTTTATATAATTACACTTTACCCTGTATACATACACTTTTATACAATTACACTACCCTGTATACATACACTTTTATATAATTACATTTTATCTTAGGTGAGGTACCATTTACTGTACTTTGCATCACCATCGGCCTATTAATATCCCCCCTGTTGGGGTACAGGCCTTCCCCATGAATGGAATAGGGAAATTGGGCCGTCGACCACCACGCGGGCCCGGTGCGGATTGGTGGATGCTACCGGGTGCAGATGCTCCTGGAACCGACTGCATAATGTGCCTGTCGAAGCACGGAGGAGCTCGAGATACTCGAGGTTTCTTGCACTCTTCATGAAGTATACTAGCATGCGCTCTGCACTCAACAAACTATCGGCAGATTATCCGATCAACATAGTGTCGCGTTATGAGTGCATTGTAAAGATATACGCGTTTTTGACAAAGTAGATTAAAATTCGAACAACTGTTTTGCGTACCGCAGCCGAGACGCAGGCCGCAGACGCATTCTCTACTCTCAAATTGATATATTACAAACAAACGATAAATATGCGCTAGTTAACAATATTAAAAACCCTAGATACACCACGAGCGCTCAAAATGTGTCCCAACCAAGAAGTGCTTGAACTCCACTCAAGCACTTCTTGGTTCACAGTCACGCGCGGACCGTTACAAAGTCAAGATGCCACAGAGCTCCGCGAAAAAATGCGAAAATAATACTTCGATAACGAAAAGTGACGTTTTTTCGTCAGGTATCTAGTCAATGTTTGTTAATTTAACGCATTTGAAGTAAATTTTGATCTAATACTTACTATATAAAATATTTGTGATAATCAAATGCATGGTCGGTTATACGTCGCCATATAGCCGTCTCTTTTCCTCGCGGTCCGTACCTTCTATATTGCTAACAGCTCGTTCAGAATTGCACGTAGAGTCAAAGAACTAAGGCCTAAATTCTTCCGAATATAGCAATAATATGTCTTATTTTACGAGCTTGCATTTCGAGCTTCAGAAGTCCTTGACGCATCCGTTTTATTTAAGACCTTATACAGTATGTATTAAAGGTTACTTTCAATATTTAAATAATGCCTTACATTGATTTTGACTACACGATCATCTTACAGAGCTCCGTGGATCGTTCAATGTACCTTTTTGACAGGTTTCAGGCCCGAAACGGGCACGATTGTGTTCGTGTTAGTGTATCTAAGGTATTTAATATTGTTGGCGCCAGTACAAGATTAAACTATTACCAGATTGCTACCACGGCCCTATTAGCCGCGTCGAAATTTTCCTAGCCTTAAGCATAATGGTCAGTGCATTCGCCCGGATAGCGAAAGATGCGGGTTCGAGTCCCGTCCGCTGCCTGGTCCGCGTGGATTTCTTTTTTTCTAGTAAACTTTTCTTTAGATTTAAACATCTAGCAGTTAAATGCTTAAAAAATAAATAAAATCATAACTATCATTGCTATTTCTTCTTTCAAATGTTTAATACTTGAAAAAGTATTCATTTGACATTGTGGGTTACCTACAATGCGAAGAGATGGCGCTGCCTTGCAGCTTAAGGCTAGGAAAATTTCGACGCGGCTAATAGGGCCGTGGTAGCATAATGGTCAGTGCATTCGCCCCGATAGCGAAGGATGCGGGTTCGAGTCCCGTCCGCTGCCTGGTCCGCGTGGATTTTTTCTAGTAAACTTTTCTTTAGATTTAAACATCTAGCAATTAAATGCTTAAAAAATAAATAAAATTATTACCAGATTGTTTGGAGAAGTGGCCGACGAATAGGAAACAAGATAGCCTATGAACAATCAGATGATTAAAAATAACAATTTTATTGAGTTGTTGTTCTGAGTCGTTTATGGCTGATAACACGGTTACAGGAAAGTTTTATTTGTACACTTCTCAAATTTTCCTGTTACTAATAGGCTGTCGCAGTAGGTAACCTTTGCGCCCTTTCGTAGAAATAATAAATCATGGTTATTGGAAGTGAATACTACTTAGAACAAAAATAAATGACTGGGGTTTTTTTTTATCCAATTTTTTGGTCCGAGACTACATTGGATTATATTCAATTATCAATTAGTGTAGTATATTATATCGATAGGTATTATTTTGAGGAGGTTTGAGGAGCTCGATGGCGCGGGTAGTTAGCGCGTGCGGCTGCGATCGTTGAAGTAAAGCAACCTTCGCAGTGGTCGGTCATTGGATGGGTGACCAAAAATCTTCTATCTCGAGTTCCTCCATGCTTCGGAAGGCACGTTAAGCCGTTATTAGTCCCGGCTGCATCTGCAGTCGTTGGCACACGCCAATCCGCACTGGGCCCGCGTGGTGGGTCATGGCACAATCTCCCTATTCCACCCATAGGGAAGGCCTGTGCCCTAGCAGTGGAGACATTAATAGGCTGATTATGATGAATTCTTTCAATAATTGCATTAACCTACCCGATATGTCTTCGTAATCAGTATGACCACTGAAAAAGGAGTCTTTGACATAAATATAAGTATTTAAAATAACTCGATATAGTACAAAATATTATCACATTACGAAACTAATGAACTATAATAACGAACAGAGTATTATCGGTAATAGACCTTTAATAAACTTAAACATTACAGTTATTATAACCAACTGATAAGTTTCATTGACTTTTGACGGCAGCCCTTATTACTTTAGTAATAAATGTTAATATTCACTAATAAAATCTCAGAATAATGTCACTGTAGCACTATGATAACCTTTGTATAGTATAAACATATTTGATTATTCTTTGATCGCAACAATTTAAAAGTCGCCTACAATTCAGAAATTCTACTTTAAATATATATTGTACTAGCCCGCCCTCGCTTCGCTTCGGTGTAGAGCTGAAGTGTAGACTACAGTTTTTGTTCTCAGGCTTGTATTATACACAATGACATTCATCTATGATTCTTCTTATACCTGCATGCAAAGTCTCAGCCCGATCGGTTTGAAATTGACAAAGTTTCATACAAACTTTCATTCCCTATTTTATCCCCTTGGGGGTAGAATTGATGAAAATCCTTTCTTAGCGGATGCCTACGTCATAACATCTACCCGCATTCCAAATTTCAGCCCGATCCGTCCAGTGGTTTGGGCTGTGCGTTGATAGATCACTATATCAGTCGGTCACCTTTGAGTTTTATATATATAGATATACACAAATCACAACCTTAAGCGCCTACATATAACGGTCATTCTCCTTTGTTACAGTATGACAGCGAGGGTGATACATTGTTCGAGAAGCTTCTATCGAACCCCAACCCCATCAACGTGGCATGAGGGCCGACCGCGAGGAGCTCGCGCCGAACCAGGCGCGTTTGCTTCAACTTATCGCCCTAGCCTCTTAAAGCTCTTAAGAACAACCGTATAGGGTTCAAAATTCATTGGAACCCTCCTGCCTTTGTGTATAATTTTTAAATATTTTATCTGTCTATATATGTATGTATACCTAGTTTAAGTAAAAAAAAGGGACTCACTCTCAACCGACCTAGAAGGATATGATCAGTCATCATCATAAATTCATTGAATGAATGAATTCATTGTAAATATCACACGGTTGTTTCGGGATCAATATTTTGAGATGTGTGCGAAATCTTCGCGTGATCCAGAGACTTGTAGCAATTTTTTTGTACAGATATATTGATAGCGAGTCGTTAGTACCTTTCTTACTTCTGTCTTCCTCTGTGTTCAATAGACAATGCTATAGTAACCGCATCCCACAGAGCGCAATAGTCGATGAACGGTGACCTCTCCTAACCTCTTTCGTTCTAGAGAACAATACTATAATAATTGTATGGGGCAGAAAGGGATAGATCTATAAAAAATGCATGTAGAGTTGTTAATTTCTAATAGCGTTGAAATTCAGACGTATTATTTATATTGAATGTCTTGGACAAATATGTTTGCATTAGAAATGTAGAATATATTCTGAACTGTTTGTTCTGATGGTTTCACATGTAAATTGTTTAAGTGTTATATGTGTAGAGTAATGAGAAGTGGTGGCCTCACAATTTGGCCACCCGCTAACAATAGGTTAATAGTAGAATTATTACATTAGTTTAATTTAACAATGTTAAACGGTAAATTATAAGGCGCGTATATTTTAATGCAATTATTGCTTGACCGCATAACTACATTAATGTGAACATAATGTAAAATTAGACATTTAAATATTTATAATTTTTATTTTTGAAGCATGTAACTGCTCGAGGTTGAAATATAAAGAAAATGTTACTAGAAAAAAATCCACGCCGACCATATGACATTGTGGGTTACCTACAATGCAAAGAGATGGCGCTGTTGTGCAGTTCAAGAAAGGCTAGAAATAATTCGACACGGCGTCAGGGCCGCGGTAGCATAATCGTCAGCACATTCGCCGGGATAGCGAAGGGTGCGGGTTCGAATCCCGTCTGCTAACTAGCCCGCGTGGAATGTTTTCCAGTAATATTTAATTTAATTTTTTTTTATCAATTTGTTGTACATACAGCCTTACATAATAAAAATGTGTTTGAAATGTCAAATTGCTAAGGAGGTTGAGGTAGACAGAGTCCTAAGGCCAATGAAATGGAACGTAAATATTGAAATATACGTGCTTAATAAACCGTGAATGGCCTATGTCCGCGTGAAATATTATCTAATAATATTTTCTTGAAATATAAATATTTTTTTTATCAATTTGTTGTACAGCCTTGCATAATAAAAATGTGTTTGTAATGTCAAATTGCTGTGGAGGTTGTGATAGACAGAGTTCTCAGGCCAATGAAATGGAACGTGAATATTGAAATATACTTGCTTTATAAACCGTGAAAAGTCTATGTGCGGAGTCATAAGAAAATATTGTAATCTTAATAAATTATTGTTATCAATTTTATTGTTAATGTCAGTCTTTTATTTAAAAAATAGTGTACCTATTAAGTTTTCCAATGATAACGGGAGAGCTTGAAATGGCAACAAATACAATAATAATTTTCGATCTTATTACCAAAGCGTAAGGTTCGAATTGTTACGATGTCTTAAAGACTTTACCCTTGCGTTCTCGCTTGGAGCGCTCGTTCTTCCTTACGCTTTCTCCAGAAAGCAGAAGCGAAGACCAGGTAGCTCACTTAATAAAGCCAGCAAGGTATCGATTTGAATTATGCTGGCGAAACACTTTGTAGCTATATCCTTATCTTATGGGTGTTACCATTTAAATAATACCTTTTTAAACTGAAAGAATGTAACCTCATGTACAGTCGTAAAGGGCCAAGCTATCCAAAGCCCACAATTTTGTCCCAAATAGCTTTGAGCTTTATCTAATTTGATATAAGACTCATAATAGACCAAGAGAAACATATAGGATATGTAACTTGATGTTTTGTTGACTGTAAAAGCACAAATGTTTTATTCAAATATGATTATGACAGCATATACAATATTACCTTTTCTCAACTGAAACGATTTGTATTATTCTGGCAGCATCTTACCAGGAAATCTTATTGTTTAATGTAGATTAGAGTGTGCCAAAACTGGGCTATTTTTATTACTTATTTGACAATAGAGAATTTATGATAAGTATTTGATGTACAGAGCCTGTTTATATTATTTTAAAAAGCTTAACTAACCTAAGATTTTATTACTATAAAACCTTGTGTATACGTTGAGTAATAATTAAATCTTTGGCGTTATTTTAAAAAGTGCATTTGCAAATGTGTAAGTATTAGTTTTTAAAACTATTATAGTTACATATGAAACACCGCCTCTGTCGAAACTGGTTACTCAAATCATATTTATTTAAAATACATAATTGAAAATTATAATTATTCAAAAAATGGTAAAGTGGATTTTTTTTAGATTCAAAGTATATTGTAATGGTATAATTTAGTGATATATAATTGTTTGTATTCAATCATATATGTGTAATTGTTAGACAAATAAACACAATTATATTATTTAAACAGTTTTTTATTATTATAATTTTTATTTTTTGAAGTTATACTTCTTTAGGCGCGTTATGAAAAAATGATGAGAGTGAAATTTTAAGATGCGCGCGCATCACTGTAACACAAAATTTTAACAGTCGCTAAAGCGACCAACTTCATGCTGTTACTTTTGTGTTTACCGCACATTAAGAAAATCTACCAACAAAATAGAAATAGAATCTCTATTTAGTGGGTGCTAACGACTGCATTGTGAAGGCCTATCAAAAGTATTTATTAATCTGGAACAACGGAACCAAAGCGCGATTCAGGAGGCTACAGCGCCATCTCTTGACCATTGGTGTAGTAGAACCAAAAACCACATCTTTATTTTTTGTAATAAAGTAACAGTTATAGGTATTCATATTTATAATATTTATCTACATGTTTCTAGTTTGTATATTCGGAATACGTGTTTGAGTTTCATACAAGTGCAAATCACATATGTTCTAATAAATTATATTCAGTAGCGATTTTAATTGAATATTTTGATTATTTATTTATTTTTTCAAATTAAAACTGAACTTTATTGACTGTGTCCTTTTCCAGACTTTTTATTAATTTATTGTAATTAATTATTTGCATGCAATTAAAAACTAATTTTAAACGATGCGAAAGAAGGATAACTTCTCACGCGCCTACATAAGTACACGCACCCATTTTTTTTAAGCATGTAACTGCTTGATGTTTAAATCTAAAGAAAATATAACTAGAAAAAATTCACGCGGACCAGGTAGCAGACGGGACTCGAACCCGCTCTCTTCGCAATCCGGGCGAATGCACTGACCAATTATGCTACCTATAATGCGAAGAGATGGCGCTGCCTTGCAGCTTAAGAATAGCTAGAGGAATTTCGACGCAGTCCGTGAGGGCCGCTGTACCATAATTGGTCAGTGCATTCGCCCGGATTGCGAAGGGTGCGGGTTCGAGTCCCGTCTGCTGCCTGGTCCACGTGAATTTTTTCTAGTTATATTTTCTTTAGTTTTTTATTATTTAAGGTATGGTTTAAGACGGCCCGCGTGGCATCTCCGGCCCTCTAATGGTTTGAAATCCGACCCACGACCATCAAATTAATATCAAAAGGTCACCATGTTCCGGCAAGGACCATCCCAAAGTACTTCGCAGTAAACTCAGGGGCGTATATTATAATATACCCTGCTGCTCAGCTGCAGGAGAGGCATTCGTTACCGAGTTATGATTTGATTTACAAATTCGGGGAGCAAATCTTAAGCGGAATTAACAAAAAATTGAGGAGCTCGATGGTGCAGGTGGTTAGTGAGTTCGGCTGCAATTATTGAAGTTATGTGTTCCTCCGTGCTTCAGAAAACACATTAAGCCGTTGGCCCCGGCTGTATCTGCAGTCGTCAGCACCTCCCAATCCGCACTGGGCCCGCGTGGTGGGTCATGGCTTAATCTCCCTATTCCATCCATAGGAAAGACCCAGACTTAATTGGCTGGCGATGAAGATGAAAAATTTTGACCCGTCATGAATTCTGATCCCATTTAGTCTAACACAAACAAATTAAATATAATTAAGTACCTACTTAAATAAAAATAAATACATGATTGTGCTAATAACTTTATTTTATTGCAATGGCAGTAATTCCTTAAATATTATCACATTAAAAAAGTAGCTATACATTTTAGGCACTGGAATGATGCTTCAGGTAACAATTTTTCATTAAATCTATGAAATTGATCATTGATACAACTCGTACTCGTGTAAACAATTATCGAAGATAACTCATTTTATGATTAAGTTATGTTTCCAAACTTATAAAACTCTCTTTTACTGAATACACAAATAGATTTTGGAAATTCTTTGTTACTAAAACGATGAACATTGAGTCAAGGGCGGGCTAAAAATGTCCAATTTTATGTCAGAATAATTCCAGTTATAAAATAATAGAAATAAATATATAAATATGGATGACAAAGATTTGTTAGGTAAGTCCGATTGCGGTTAGGGAAATATATTACTTTACACTTGCTGTTGCCCACGTAACGTAGGTAAATTCCAATTACTTATTACAATTAGGTACCTAACATAGGTACTAGGATATTTCACAGAAACATTGTCTACGGATTCAAGTGCTCATTCGCCAACTGAGGAATTGTGTAAATTATAATTTCTTCAAACATAATTATTGGACCCACTCACGAGACGTAAATTAACTTTTTACTTCGATTAAGTTGATGCGGCCGCTTTCATTGCTATAAGGGGCCATCCATAAATTACGTCACACTTTAAGGGGTAGGGAGGGGGTCGACGAAATGTGACATCGTGTGACAAGGGGTGGGAGGGGTCCTAAATTTCGTGACGTCACATTTCAAAATATATTAAAATCTAAGTGTTGAAACTATTACTTTACGAAAGCATTAACAACCCAAACGAGAACAAAGTGGTGCTATGCCAGTTTTAAATAATTTAAAGGACTGGGATCAATGTCCATGGACTCAAGATTATTAAGTTTGTATCTTTAATTTAATTATAATGCTATTAATATTTTATGTTTTGTTAATTTCTTTAATTAACATAGTCAATCACTTTTTGTTCGGTATTTTTTTTGTTTTGTTAATTGTTTGATTTGATTATAATAATAATGAAAAAACAATTTAAATGGAAATAAAACTGATTACAGAACCGCTGTTTTCATTCAACGATTTCTAAATGTAAATTTGCAAAATATAGGGAGGGGGGGAGTCTTACAAATGTGACCAGCTGTGACAAGGACGGGGGGAGGGGCAAAAAAGACATGAAATTCGTGTGACGTAATTTATGGATGACCCCTAACAATAGAAAAGATAACCCGCATAGATATTAAATTTAATTGAGGTCTCCTGAGCATGGCCACAAAATATTAAAGATGGTTCAAAAGTAGCAGTCTTTCCGGTATCCATGAAACATTTATCATTTGAAAGTTTTTTGACAGTTGGTCTACCATCAAGTCAGCCTTATTAAGTTATTGTGAAAGTCTGACGGATCAATGGAGCAATACTGGTTGCACTGACAATGAGGATAGTGATTGACATAAATTTTTGTTAATACATATTATTTTTATTTGAAATGCTTACCCAATTTATAATATATTAAAATTATTGACATTGTATCATTTGTTTTGACGATCATTTAAAATGTATGAAACAAACAAATTCTTCTAGTTAATAAGTAATTAATTCTAGTCGTTTTTATCACAATAAATAAATAAATAAATGTAGTAACATGAATAGATAATAGTATTATTTTAGTCATCCCCAATTAATTTTAAATCTTATTTGAAAATTTTGCAGTAGTCTGCGGCAGCTTATAATGTCAACTCAACCACTATGTCAAATAGTCCAATTATGCATGATATTCGTGAAATTGTGGTGAAATTATTATAGCAATTTCTGATTGATTATCCTTGAGAAACCCCCACAAAATACCTAATAATAGAATGAGTAATGGACAGAATAATTATCACTGCTTTAGTTACCTATTGAATAGAATATAGGTACATAAATAAATTTGTCATATGCCAATCAATAATGTAATTCAAAATATAATTATTATTAGAAAAATTGAATTAGATAAATTCTTGTTATACAATTAAGTGCCCTACATGTCATATAAATTTGAAGTCTGTCGGAGACTCACTACCGCCCTTCATACAAATTTGAACAATCTCCTTTAGTAAATTACTTTAGTGCAAGTAGGTATGTAAGCGTCAATCGTGCACTTTCCACCCTTTATTAAAATAATCATAACACAAACAAAGTTACAAAATTCAAACATAATAATAATATATATAACAATTATAATTATTATTTACAACAACTATATTGTGATACGATACGCACTAATCAATAACTAAAATTAAGTGGTTAACAAAACTATAATAACTCATATAAGTGCAAATATTCAAAAACTTGTACGGACAGACACAGACCAATGTTACTATTTTTCAGTATACTTGATTAGAAAACAATCTTCAATAAAAAATCCTAGAAAATAAATCTTGGCTAATGCATTTAAATAGGGATAATGACAATTTTTTTGCTTCGTTTATCAGGTAGATTATCAAAAAGTATTGCACACGTATTATTTCTTTTTTCACATAATATAAACATTGCAGAGGTATATTGATTTGAAAAGTCGCATGACGTCACGTTTTGGTACAATTTTCACTTAAAAGTGACGTCACGAGCCCCTACACCCAAACTTTGACGCGCTATAACTTTGTCATTTTTTGGTTGATTGCCCAAAGAAAAAATACGTGTCCATTATTTTTTGATCATCTGACGGACTAAATAGAATTTACTTTACTGTACCCCGTCATCACTCCTATTATGCAAACATAAAACCTTATTTTTAAGTGGCTTCGTGTTGTTATTAATAAATAAATTAATAGTTAAACCTTATTAATAACAAGTGACAATGATATGTGTAATTAACGACGATGAGTTTGCTACTCCTTAACAATTCAAAATCAGTGCCCCTAGCACGAACCATTATCGAATTCGAATAGTATGCAAACCGAAATGTCAATGTCAAATTTTGTATGGAAACTTGAACAGCAGCGGCACAAAGTACGTAACGAGAACTAAAAATCAGTACATATTTTACAATGACATTTCGGACTCGCAAACGATACGAATTCGATATTGGTTCGTGCTAGGGGTACAGAAGTCCAAGCAAGAGTTCTTGTCATCTCCATAAAGTATCATATCGTCAAATTTTGTATGGAAAAGCCTATTTTGCTGTTACGTCCGATAGGGGCGCTGGCTAGTTTTCATAGAACGACGATGCGATACGATTACGGAGCTGGCAAAATTCGAGCTTGGTCCGCTGTATTTCAATGTAACAATGTAATAAAAAAAAATGTGTGCACGGAACAAACATCTTAAGTGAAACTCCTTTTCTTAAATAATCTAACCTCATGCGGTGCATAAGGCATAGGGGAACGGAGCAGCGCACGCAGCACTCATATATATGTATATACTAGCAAACCCGGCGAACTCCGTTTCGCCACCAGATGGCTTCGTTTTATGTAACATTTCGTTTGGTGATTAAAAGAAGTTTTTTTTTAAGTTTTCCTGAATTTTCTTTGCTATAAACCTCACGGAGCCCGAGACCTTTCCAACGAAAGCAAAACCGTGGAAATCGGTTCGTGCGTTCTGGAGTTATAGCGTCAGGAAGGAAAACCCGACTTATTTTTATATAGTAGATATATATATATATTTAAATATATACATACATATATATTGATATATGTTGTCGAGTGTGACGTTTCAGCCTTCGCCGAGTTACATTCCAACTTTCATCCTCGTCAGGAAGAGCATGCATTCCACACACACACACCTTTATATATATATATATATATATAGTCATGTGACACTCGTGACGCATTTCCGTTTCATCTTTTCCATAGGATTTTTCATTTTACACCCCGTCCGAAAAGAAGTTTCACATCAAAAAAAGTAACTATGGTCCGATACAGGAAGCAGACATTTTGTGCGATCCAATCCGCCATAAAGATGAGATGAAGTTAAACTTCTGCATGATTTAATAGCAGACTGGTATAACTTTCCGTGCTTAGTGATGAAAATATATGTCATATTTTTGTGTAGGATCATTATATTATTAAACGAAGACTAGGCTTGGATTAGTTACTCCGTGTTTTGTCTCCGTCTATTGAATGACAAATGACATTTGAGTGACATGAACATGAACGCGGCGTAACTAGTCTAACCTTAATCCTTGTTTATTAATAAAGGGGTATAAGTAAAGCTAATCACATTAGAACAAAATTCGTTTTATTTCGTCCTTAACTTTTCCAGTATGAACGATCGTATCGTCTTTTTTTAAGATTTCTAAAGCAGTGTAACAAACGTGTTTCTATTAAAATAAAAGAGACTATATTACAAGGTACCAAAAACTTACATGAAATACAATAAAGCCAGAAACATATTAACGTGTCGTGTCGTGTCGTGGCGCGCCAGAAGCACATCGGTTTCATACATTTACTATGGTTAGAGACATATCTACGTATCGTGTCGTGTCGACGCTTTAACCTCTCTATCTCTCTCTAACCCATAATAAATGTATGAAACCGATGCGCCACGTCACGCCACGACACGTTAATATGTTTCTGGCTTAAGGGATCATCTAAGCATAAGTATAAAAATTGTGATAAAACTAAAAACATTGAACAGATAAACTACTAACTGTGAATTTGAAGTTTAAATAGAATTTTACAGGTCGCGGAACGTAACTCTAGCGCTGAACAAACCGCGTCAGGGATATCTGCTCATGTGTACGACTGGAGAGACAATCGTCGCAACGCACGCCCCCCCCCCCCCCCCGCGCGCACCTCGTTTCCCCCCAACACATCTTCATTTTTGTACCTTGTAATTTGTCGTCGTCTAATCGTAACGATTTCTCGTAGTGTGTATGGCTACCATTACGCGCGCGCAATAACGGTCAGCGCTAGAGTTTCCCGCCGCGACTAGGGAATGCAAATCTCGCGAGGTTATATTTTCACGATGTATTTCAATAAACTTTTATGCATCAAAATTACCAAAAAAAAAATACTCGAATGCAATCGAACTCAATCACGTTAGCTAGCAACAACTATTAGCAAAAAAACCAAATGGGTGCATGACGCTGCAAGCCCCGGATAAACTTTCGACCAATCGGACGCACGAACGAATCTGAGAAACACCTCGTCCGTGAGCCGCACCGAAAGAAACCGACAGATTGCAACCCTGTCCGTGTCAGTCCGCGCTTCGTAAAAGACATTTTTATGCTCAAGTGCAATCTCGTTAAACTCGCGAGATCTTGCCTTTTTTCGTCCCAGATCAATCTCGCTAAAAAAGGCCGAGATCTCGCGAGAACGAGATTGCATTCCCTAGCCGCGACTTATATAACTTATGTGCATTGATATTAAAAGAGTGCTCATAAACGACAATACTTTAAAAGACGTGCTATAACAAGCAGGATTGTCATTAGGAGAAATGGTCAATGATACATAACACAGTTTGGAAGACCATTGTGTAAAAATAAATTTTAATTCAGAAATCTTAATAATTATTTTAGAAATAGGTATTTTATTTTGCTTTAAAAAGGCCATACCATAGAGCAACACGGCTGACTCGGCCAGAAGGGGAGTGGGCTATACACAGCTTGCCCCTAAGTCACGCACGTACGTTAAAAGCGGACGCGAGCTGAGAGACATTTGAGAAATAGGTATTTGAAAAAACGATTGCTGTCACGCATTGGCAAATACCGTTTGATAGAGACAACAGTAGGTAACGCAAAATGCGAGTTTTGGCTCTCGATGATTTCCTCCTCGAAAATTAGATATATGTAAAAGAAATTTGACACATAGAATAATTAGTAGTTGTTCTATGCCTGTATGTTTTGATTTTTTGTAAATGCTTAGTATACACAGTGTAATAAAAAAATGTTTATTATTGCCCTCAAAAAAGGCCACAAATAAACATTAAAAAAAAATTAAAGTTTTTTTTTAAAAAACACCAATTAGCCTAGCCCCAAAGTAAGCACTGTAAGGCTTGTGTTATGGGATACTAGGGTAACGGATAGAATACATATACTGTACATATATAAGTATATTTGTATAGAAAATACATATTAAACATCCATGACTGGAGTACAAATGCTCGTATTCATCATACAAACATCTGCTCCCACCGAGATTTGAATCCAGGACCTCTCGAGTCGGCGACACCATGAAACCCGGCGTACAAACCACTCGGCCACGGAGGTCGAATGTTTATTTGTGGCCAAAATATTTTTATCACACTAAAGATGTCTAGTGTGGAGATTTAATAAGCTAAAGTCTAGTTTCTTTTGAAACACCAAGTTATCGAATAAAGGAAGACATAGGAGCATAGAGTGAGTAAAATATATATTTTATGTATAAAAATCAATTCGTTACTGATAATAATCAAGGAGGAATCAGTCGAAAACTTTTGTATGGAAAAAACATAGCGCGCTTCCCTCTTAAAATTATTTGAATTTGACTCTATGTAAATTGAGACATTTTTATGTAATGGGATGTATTTCTACTGGTAGTAGTATCAAATGCACCACAACAGTTATTACAATATAACACAACAATCAAGCACTCATAAAAAGGCACGGTTCATATTTTTCTCTCTAAATTAAAGAAAACTACTAAAGGGGCCCATATACGGAACGATTGATCTGTACGATCCGTCGTTTCAGACCAATCGAAACGATGCATCGACAGTATATGTCAAGATCGTTAACGATTTACTTAATCGCAGACGATATCGGAGATCACAGCAAAAACCCATGCAATCATGAATATCGTAAACGATCGATCGACAGTGTCCCATATACGGTACGATTGATCTGTACGATCCGTCGTTTCAGACCGATCGAAACGATGGATCGACAGTGTATGTCAAGATCGTTAACGATTTACTTAATCGAAGACGATATCGCAAATCGCAACCAAATCCCATGCAATCATGAATATCGTAAACGATCGATCGACAGTGTTTCGTGTATGTAGTGGCATTTCTGAACGATCGATCGCAAACGACGAATCGTTCCGTATATGAGGCCCTTAAAGTTGTCGTTAATTTGTTTAATTAACTTTCGTTAATCGAAACACGAAAAATATATAGTTTTTCGCGTTTCGATAAAAGGACGGAAGTCTTTATTGTTTTTTCGTATTTGTTTATTTTCGTAGTGACTTCTAACACAAAGATGCAACAATTAATAAAAAAAAATTGTTATTCGAATCCCAGCAAACTTCTTTACTAAACTACCTATCCCCTTAGCACGAACAATTTTGTTATAGAATGCGAATACTTGAATTCTATCTAAATACACATCAAAATAGTACCGATTTTTAGTTCTTGTTACGTGCGTTGTGTCGCTGCTGTTCAATTTTCCATACAAAATTTCTCAATGACATTTCGCACTCGCCAACATAACGAATTTGATATTAGTTCGTACTAAGGGTACTGATGAAAAAGTAGTTTGTGGAGTCCTTTGCTAGGATAGCTGACAGGGAAAACTGAACCTTATAGACAAGGTAATAAATAGGCTTACCAAAGTAATTGTGACTTAAAGTAATTTTAGCAGTGGAACTATCATAATAATTAATATCCTATGGGACTACTGGGACATAATAATTAGTAAACAACAGTATAATTTTTTTTATTGTGTATGCTGTTGGTCGCAGATGACCTTTACAGCTTCACCGGGTTTGGGGACGGCGAGATCCTAAGTGCCTCTAGATGTATTCCAGGCGGATGGCATCTCCCCACGGGAGGAGTTTCCTCTCCGTCTCGAGCCTCTAGACCACACCAGTATCACTCGCTAATGCCATGAAACTACTCGGCTATAATCATCCCACTTTAGCCTATCATGAGACTTGGTCCATTGCACTAGTGGGACAGCGATATTATATAGTACAGATTCGCCTTGCATCTATATTCAAATAGTATTTTTTCTGCATTGCTGATGTGTGTATTATCTGCAGTTTTCTATAAGAAGGAGGAAGTGGCAATTAAGATTTCATGGGGAGTGCTAGGTGGTAAGCACTGGTGCGAAAGTCATCGTACCAAAAGAACTACGATAATTCGCACCCAATATTACTATGAAAACCCCATTGCCAAGAGCTCTATTTTTGAATCTTAAATAATAAATTTAAATAAATTTTAATATAAAATAAATTTTTTTCGACATAATAAATTCCGTATTTTTGTATCACACGGCGTCAATGAGCGGTCTCGACCACTCGTTGCGCGTTGGCGAATGATAGAGGCGAATGGTAGAATAATTATCAAATTTATGTCAGATATTATCAAGATTTTTTTCTCAATCTTTTAAAATACAGATAACATGACGATTTGATCTTTTTTAACAAAAAAGGCAAAAGATTATATAATCAGTTAGTCTTTTTTCAAAACGGTAACGACTGCTTTTTATCTTTATCCGTGAAATTAATAAAAGTAAATATTATGTATTATACTGGTAACACCGTAAATGAACGATTCAAAAATACGGATAATCAGTATCATGCAAATTGGAAGTCGAAAGCGACTTAAGTCGCATTCGACGATACTATGTCAGACGAGCGAATCAAAAATACAGCTCCTGGTCACAGCGGCGCCAGCCTCTCCTAAGGTTATAATTTAATCTTTTTAGGTGACAACTAAAAGAATTATACACGACTAGCATCAAATTTCGGTGTAGTAAGTAAGCCTGTTGATTCGCAGCAAACCGAACACGTTGGGGAAAACGTATGTAGTATTGAATCCGATCATTCCGTACGTAAAGTACTTGTAGCAGAGTTCTACGGTGATCTTGTTCTTGTTGTCGAGGCTGTTCTCGGAGTTGAGGAGTTCGTTCTTGTCTTTGCCTAGAAGGGCGGATATGAAGGCGTAGGAGAGGGACTTGCCTATGGCGCGGGTTGCTAGGACTCCGCAGAAGCCGAGAATGGTCCGGAGGATGGTGCATCCCAGCATCTCTACTGATGGCCAGATGATCTGGTAGGGCGGGGCCTGGTCGCTGGCCACCATGTTGCCGAGCTGGTAGTTTGTCCAAGAGCCTGTGAGGATGCCCGCGCAGACGCTCACTATCATCGTGGTGTCGCCTCTGTAGACAAATAATCAGGTGTTTTCTAAAAGTGTTGGTGAAAAGGGTCAGGTAGTTATATCTATACATATAAAACTCAAAGGTGACTGACTGACTGACATAGTGATCTATCAACGCACAGCCCAAACAACCGACGGATCGGGCTGAAGTTTGGCATGCAGGTAGATGTTATGACGTAGGCATCCGCTAAGAAAGGATTTTGATCAATTCTACCCCCAAGGGGATAAAATAGGGAACGAAAGTTTGTATGACACTTTGTCAATTTTAAACCGATCGGGCTGAGACTTTGCATGCAGGTATAAGAAGAATCATAGATGAATGTCATTGTGTATAATACAAGCCTAAGAACAAAAACTGTAGTCTACACTTCAGCTCTACACCGAAGCGAAGCGATGGCGGGCCGCTAGTTATAAATTGGGTACGGAACTGCACAATTATGGTTCGCAAAAGTGCAAAATCACCTGTGATTCACATCAACTCCGAGGAAGCTTTAAAGAAGATTACATAAGTGCTAACTTTCTATTATTTAATTGGTTTTGCTGCATTATTTGTCTGTTTTTAAAAATCGTTTCTAGTTTTAAATGTTTTAAATTTTTAATAATCTCAATTTGCACTAAATATTATCAATGTGACATAATAATTTCATCAAATAGCGTAAATTGTTTGACAAACACTGTTTCAACAGTTGTTCCATTGTGCGATACTTTTAGTCCGGTTCGCCTGTGTCATGTTGCCGTATCGACGCAAGTAATATCCATTGCTCGCTTAGTGTGCGCGATTCGCTCGCTGTTAGGTTTGTACGGAGTATTCTATACCTATTGTGGCGGCTTATCATGTGACTATGCACTTGTTTATATTTTTTTGTTTTACCGTCAATTAGATTTATTGAAACTGTTAATTTTATCGATACATAAATCATTATTAACATATAATGACAATTATTTTTGCGGTGAATTAGATGCTTTTTCTAATCATAGATATGAATACTCGACCATAATGTGTGCAGTGCAGTGCGTGTTGCTTTATTCCTTTATGGATGTATACGTTTCAAGCGGTAAGTCCTTGATAATTATAAGCTCTATTTTTATTTTAATAATTCCTTAATGGTACTAAGCCTATACTACCAAAACGTGCGTGGTTTGCGTAGTAAAACAGGGTTATTCTTGAATAACTTGTTAAATTATAACTATGATATTGTGTGTCTTACCGAAACTTGGTTATTGCCTGGCATTTTCGACGCTGAACTTTTTGATCGACGATACAGTGTATATAGAACTGATAGGGATTACGATAAGCACCGTACTAAGAAGGGTGGTGGCACCTTAATTGCTGTGCGTCAGGGATTGTCCGTAGATGTAAGGTCAGTACACTCCGTACCCTCCCTTTTAGATACAGAAATTACGTGTATTAATATTGTAATGAAAAACGGGCGTAATACTAAAATACTATCAATATTTTGTTGCTATTTTCTTCAAGGTACAAATCAGGAATTGGCTGAACAATCATTTTTTGATCATGTTTCTGACATAGGAATAAACGAACCCGATAATGATTATTTACTGATCGGTGACTTTAATATTCGTTATGCAGCATGGAATGGTGATTCCATTTCAGGAGTTTATTTATCTAATCCACATGTTAACTCACTGGTGTCACAGCTGCATATGTTCTTGAGTTTTACAGGATGGTCTCAATACAATATTGTAGGTAATGCTAATGATAGATGTCTTGACCTAGTAATATCTAGTTTTAAATGTGTTGTATCTCGCACCGAGCCGCTGTCACTGCCAGAAGACTCACATCACCCTGCGCTTAAAGTTGAGTGGCAGACTGAGAGTGACTCATTGCTACTACCATTGCCACGGACTGTTCAATGTTTCTATGCCGCTAATTATGAACATATCAAAAGCGACATTGAAAAAGTTGACTGGGAGGAAATTTTTCAAAACCATTCTCATAGACTGAAAATAGATTTAGCGGTAGACATTTTTTATAAAATTATTTATGAGATCATAGATATTCACGTTCCAAAAAAAAATATTGAAACACAGCAATTATCCAGTTTGGTATTCGCGACCGTTAATAAAACTTATCAAAAAAAAACAAAGAAAGCACAAAAAATGGAAAACTTATGGCAGACAGTCTGATTACCTGGAATTTTCTAAGTTACGTAAAGAGATTAAATCAATGCAGAAATTATGCTATGACACTTTTATTACAAAAACAGAAGTAAATTTAAATAAAAATACCAAACATTTTTGGGCGTTCGTAAAATCAAAAAAGGATAATAACTCTATTCCAGACACACTTTACTTGGACAACTCAACTGTTTCAGAGGGATCAACGATTGCACATGTCTTTAATACTTTTTTTCAATCTGTTTTTGAAAGCCATCCGGAGGCGACTTCTACCTATCCACCTTATAGACAAAGTGAATGTATTATTAATTCTGTAAGATGTTCGGAAGACATTGTCAAAAAGTATCTATCAAAGGTTGATGCAAATAAGGGATCCGGGCCGGATGGTATTCACCCTTATTTCATTAAAATGTGCTGCAAGCAATTGGCAGCTCCAATTGCTTACCTATTTCGCCTATCGTTGTCTAGCGCAGTAATGCCTTTAGTGTGGAAGCAGTCATTGGTTGTACCCATTCATAAAAATGGTGATAAACACAACATCCGTAATTACCGAGGAATATCAAAATTGTCTGTAATACCTAAGTTATTTGAAAAAATAGTTTTCGACTCCCTTAATGTAGCCCTTAGACCGATTTTTATTAGTCAGCAGCACGGATTTGTAGCAGGGCGCTCCACTGAAACAAACCTATGTGAGTTTTTAGACCAAGTATTGTGTGGAATGAATAATGGTTTTCAGGTAGGTGCTGTGTATACCGATTACTCTAAATGTTTTGATAAAATTTCGCATCAAATATTAGTTAGAAAGCTAGAGAATATCGGTATACATGGTGACCTGCTGAGGTGGTTACAGTCATATCTTGAAAACCGAACTCAGGCAGTTACTGTGAAAGGTTTTAAGTCCAGTTTCATACCGATTACGTCAGGTGTTCCCCAGGGTTCTCACCTCGGACCATTGTTTTTTAACATTTTTATAAATGATGTTAGTCAGTGTTTTCAAAATTCAAAATTCTTACTATTTGCAGATGATACCAAGATATTTTCGATTATTAAGTCTGTTGAAGATTGTGTTAGACTTCAGGAAGATCTAGATCGTTTGTGTGATTATTGTACAATTAATAAGCTGACTATGAATGTCGATAAATGTAGTTCCATAACCTTTAGCAGAAAAAAAACTGAAATAAAATTTAATTATAAACTTTTTGCCAAAGATCTTACTAAAAAGTCTGAGGTGAGAGACCTGGGGGTGATAATGGACAGTCAATTGTATTTTACGTCTCATTTTCATAAAATTACAGCCAAAGCGTATAAAATGTTGGGTTTCATATTTAGGCAGGGCAAAGATTTTAAAAACATAGAAACTCTATTACTTTTATATAACAGTTATGTAAGATCTCAACTAGAGTACGCTTCAACGGTATGGAATCCGCAGTACTTAACACACATAAGCGCGATAGAAAAAGTACAAAATAAATTCATTACAAGGATGAAATACAAATACAATGATTTTTGTGAGGATGACGTTCGATCCCTGGCACACCGAAGAGAGTGCAGAGACTTGGTCTTGCTTCACAAGGTTATAAATGGTCTTGTCGATTCTTCATATCTTTTAAGTAAAATTTTGCTAAAGTGTCCAAGAGCAAATCTACGAGCACGTGATACGTTTTGCATTCCCGCGGGTCGGACTAATTATGCAAGTAATCGCTACATTGTGCGAGCTATGAAATCATATAACTCTAAATATAGTCACATTGATATATTTAATCTTAATTTTTTGAAATATAAAAAAACTAATTTTTTAACTCGTTTTAGGCACAAAATTCTTATTTCTTTTTGTTTTGTTTATGTTCATTATGATACCAAAAATTGTTTCTTTTTTCTCTCGTGTTTATTAGACACTATGTGAGATAATTAATAGTGGAAATTACCTAGGCAATTGTTTAAACTAATGTTATATTTTTTATGTAAAAATTAATGCTGTTATTTCCCTAAAAATAAATAAATCTACAGTAATTTCTTACCAAGTGAATAAGACTGAAAGAAAAGTGTATGAAATGAGGAAGAAAAAACAATAACATATAAAAAAACAAAATATTGATTTTGGTAAGATCACAGTTATTACACCGCTCCCCTCATCAACCTTAAATATTATAATAATAGATACCCCGCACCCTTCGCTACCTACAATGCGAATAGATGGCGCTGCCTTGCAGCTTAAGAACGGCTAGGAAGAATTCGACACGGCCGTCAGGGCCGCGGTAGCATAATGGTCAGTGCATTCGCCCGGATAGCGAAAGATGCGGGTTCAAGTCCCGTCTGCTGGCTGGTCCGCGTGTATTTTTTTCTAGTAATATTTTCTTTAAAATGATACATTTTATTTTAAAGCAACTTAGACCCAAACTTTATTGTAAGTATACATTTGCCCTTAATATCTATGTTACTAGTGTTACTACAGACAGATTCGACCAAAATATTTATATGTAAAGAATTTTCAATGAAAATTTCATAAATGTGCCATATAAGGGCAGTCAAACCGGCTGTCTATCATAGCTAGAATAGTTTGGGGCTGGCCCGCACTCTGCGTATTATTCAAGAGCATTGGGCGCGCATTGTGCTATAAAAGCAATTAAAACTTTAGCTTCCTCAAACATCGCCGACGCACTACAGAATCTAGGCAGCCCCATCAAAATTCTCAAAGCATTATATTATTGAATGCGGAGATCGTTATACGATATTTGAGTATAGCTAACCCACAAGCTGGACGTGTAAAAAGATGTACAATCTGCTTGGAAAGGAGTAATTTTTAGATAATACGAGCTACGCCCGAATAGTACAGTCAATCTGTAGGTTGAGTGGTGAAAAAAAAACCTAAAGGGTAAGTCTTGTTTTTTCTGTTGCCAAATGACGTCAGCCACCTTGGCGATGGGCATGTTCAACTCGTAGGCGTGTATTACAATTACCCTTTTTAAAGTCATAAATTGCGCAAGTATGAAAAATCCAATAGAGCGGTTTTGGGCAGTTCAAGTACACATTTGCAGTGCATATTTCAATGTACGTTTTACTATTTTTAATTTTTCTTCATGATTGTAATAATTTATTAATGTACTTTGTGAATAGAGCAGATGGCCGAATTGGCCCACTGTGTTGGCACTCACTGTGTTGTATACGTAGCGCTGTATTGCACTGTAACTAGAAAACTGTAAGTAATTTAAAAAAAAAATTATACAAAAGTTGTTGGTAATTATGTACGGAACAACTTTTCCATTAAAATGATATTTTCCGGGTGAAAAAGTGAAAAAACACTTTTTTGAGACTTTAGCGCCACCTACAATGAGCATTTTTTGTTGTACGAGATTGCAACAATGACATACAATTGTAGCACTCAACGCCCTCTACAATTATGGTTAAAAAAAAAAGTTTCTAAAGTGCATACAAAACAAGAAAAATGCGTTTCAAAAAAATTTAGACGGTTTTTTTGAGTTTTTCAAAAAACGCCTACGAGTTGAACATGCCCATCGCCAAGGTGGCTTACTGACGTCATTTGGCAACAGAAAAAACAAGACTTACCCTTTAGGTTTTTTTTTCACTCAAACGATATTTTTTTCGACAGATTGACTGTACTATATAAGGCTTGTGTTATGGGATACTAGGTTAACGGATAGAATACATATACTGTACATATATAAGTACATTCAAATAGAAATACATATTAAACATCCATGACTGGACAAATGCTCGTATTCATCACACAAACATCTGCCGCCACCGGGTTCGAACCCGGGACCTCTCAAGTCGGCGACACCATGAAACCTGGCGTACAAACCACTCGGCCACGGAGGTCGTCAATTTGAATTTGAGTTTGACTACTATTATAGTGTATATGTTACGCTCAAAGATCGAAAACGCTCAGTGAGCGGAAAAATAGCTCACAACGCGTTGTGGTCACAGTAAAACATCCACATGGCGAAATTCGTATTATGGCTCTAATGAAAAAGCGCACGTTGTGGCAATCACAGAAAGACCAAATAGCGAAATTCGTGTCGTGGCTGACATGCTATTTGATCTCAACGCGTTGTGGCAATGAAGAAAAGCCATGACGCGAATGGAATATTATTTGATTACGACGCACACTACTTTCCGATATGGATCCTACTGGGCCTAGGCTGGAAACGTTTTGGTAGATGTCTTTAGGAAATATTTTATAAAATCACTGCATAACGCGTTCATCATTATTAAATATGTTATATAATTATATAAGTTAAAATAAAACGATGTTTGTTATTTATTGAGATACCATGACCCAGAGGTCAAACCGTGATCAAATGCATACTTTTTATTTATTCAGACAACGCATCCTGAAATAAATTAATAAATCAGTGTATCTATACTGTTTTAACTGGTTTTATTTAATGAGTGGTATCCGTGAAAACCTAAGAAACAAATACAAATGCATACTGTTCACATCTTAATATATATAAATCTCGTGTCACAATGTTTGTCCTCAATGGACTCCTAAACCACTTAACCGATTATTAATTAATATATAGACACAGAGACGATTTTGGGTGTACCCTGTGTGACAATCGGGGCAGGATTCCAAACAGTTTACGGCAATGCGAAATTTGATTGCCTATTTGTCCAGAAGGGATTTTTAGTAGATATAGTATTTTTTTTAACACAAAGATATTATCATTAACAACCTCTGTCGTGTGAGTGGTATATATACGGCGGGTTTCAAGGTGTCGCCTACTCAAGAGGTAATATTTCTATTATAATTATCGAAATGACTATGATCATAAAGTATTAAAGCTCAAGGGCGCGGGTGGTTAGAGCGTTGTTCACAGTGGTTGGTCATCGGATAGTTGACCAAAAATGCTCTATCTCGAGTTCCTCCGTGCTTCGGAAAGCACGGTAAGCCGTTGGTCCCGGCTGCATCTGCAGTCGTTAGCACCCGCCAATCCGCACTGTGCCCCGGTGGGTCATGACCCAATCTCCCTATTCCATCAATAGGGAACGCCTGTGCCCCAGCAATGGGGACATTAATAGGCTGATGATGATGATGATAAAGCATTGGATAGTTTTCAATGAATTCACAAAATGTACCATTAAATTCGATGCCTTCATGCATTTTTTACATCACTAACAGACGTCTGCCAATATTGATACACTTTGATGTGCAGGCAATCTTTAGTACATTAATCAACTTCATGAAATGCTCGAGAATTTCATGAAATGGTCGCAATTCATGAAATGTTTCACTATCTATTGGCCACATCATGATGTGGTTTGGGCAGATCAATTAAAAAAATCGTTTCACGATATGGCCAACTAAACGCGTGGCTACTTCATGAAATGGCAAAAATTATTTGATCATATTGTAAAGTAGTTACATTAATTACCGGTAGAGGCGCTGCAAGCGCTTTTTTATATATTTATATGACGGCCGCTTCCGACAATGTTGTTTCTCGCAGTGAAAAAGTGCATAATTCGTTATTTAATGAGGAAGAAAGTTAACAAATGGGTTTTCGACGAAACAAATTAAGGAGAGTAGGGTGACTACGCAAAAGAAATCTATGGACTATTGCTGGCTGTCAAAATATGACATTTTGGAAACTGCGGTTGAGGTACAATGTGCGGATGAGAATCAATGCCGTACAAAGCTATACTGTAAAACTGTACTTCCAGGGCCCAAGAGGTGATACTTGAATTTCTTTTGTAGAAAAGGTCTCTTTTAATAGAGTTTTTTTTCTGGCGCTTCGCCGGCCGCTACCGCGGCACGCTCGCTTTGATCGCTCGGCTCGCGCGTCATGGTCACAACACTAACCTAACCTAGTGTGAAATATTACCGTTTGGACCCCGGAAGATCAGTTAATTGTAATATGTACCAAAGTACCTTATTATTTCTAAATATTTGATAGTTTTCTAAATATAAATGTGTAAGTTCTTGACATTTTTGATGTTCAATTTAGGAAAAAAATCTTTAATTCGTTTATTTTGCTACAAAAATTTGATGCGTGTCACGTTAAGCCGTTGGTCCCGGCTGCATCTGCAGTTGTTAGCACGCGTCAATCCGCACTGGACCAGCGTGGTGGGTCATGGCCCAACCTCCCTTTTCCATCAATAGGGAACGCCTGTACCCCAGCAGTAGGGACATTAATAGGCTGATGATGATGATGATAAAGTATTGGATATTTTTCAATGAATTCACAAAACGCACCATTAAATTCGATTCCATCATGCATTTTTTACATCAATAACAGACGTCTGCCAATATTGATACACTTTGATGTGCAGGCAATCTTTAGTACATTAATCAACTCATTAACCATAATCATTACATACCTAAATTTGCTTCTTAATATGTATGAAGAGTTAGTCTATTACTAGTATCAGATAGGCTTATTGCTGCCCAAATATTTTTTATACTGCTATTGCTAAGAACCAGAACCAGATTGTCCTTACCTATCCATTACTGACTTAACAAACTAACAATTAATAATCAAAATTACCTTGTTGGTGTCCACTTATCAGCATCAGGATAAAATACAATGGCTAATATAGACAATGTAATAACGATAAGAGGTGCAAAATTGTTTGTCAACAGGAGTCCATCAAGCCAATCCACTACAGGAATTAGCACCACAAGCAGCAATGATGACAGTAGCAATCCTGCTGCTATGTCCTGAAATAACAATAATAAAATAATCAATAGATTGACTCCTATCTGTATGACTACATAATTTTTATTGATATTTTTCCTTATGATGATAATAGTATGTTTGCTCAAAATAAACTTTGGAGTTGTTTTCTCAACTTACTGCTTGGGGTCTGATAAGCAGTATTTATGCGGGCTATTTAAAACTTTATGGCTCTAGAGATAGGTCATTTCACCAAGTTAATCTATGGTTAAACTTCTTCATACAAAAGTAGACTCTAACTATCACAAAAACGGCTTACAGTCCCGTGGGTAGCGCGCCCCGATCAGGGCGTGCGGTGTTTGACCATGAAATGTATTTTTCGAGCGCGCCCCCATGTGGCGTGTGGTCTTATTTGAGATCTCATAATTAACTCAATTTAAGGTAAAACTTCACTTGTTATGCCCAGGAGTTGACATTTCACATTTTTTTGTTCAGGTCTGTTATCAAACTATTTTTCTGGCAATTGACCGGCCGCTGCCTCTGTATCCTTGCTTGCTCACAGTACTAGCCTAACATAATCTAAAGTTTTAACTCCTGGACCCAAGATGTATTGCTTGACCTACTTTATAAAGGAGTTGAAAACCTACCAGTACACTGTGCATTCCAAGGTAGACTCTGCTGACACATATCAATGTGCACCATGCAACAGCTATGACAACACCCCAGTGTTCAGGATATTGATATCTATCTATAGTGTACAATAGGACAGAAAATGGTATAGACACTCCAACCATAGCATGTGTCGAGGGCATGCCATACTCTATAGCCCATTTTTCTTGAAGTTTCTTGACTGGGTAACCTGGCCTTGGCCATCTAACAATATCCTTGATGCCTTGGCCTGGAAATGGGAAAAGGTAAAATATAGATTTTCATTTAAACATATTGTTAATATCACACACATTTATTAAGTTTTAAAATACAAAAAACTCAAATTGAACTAGCCACCATTTTTTGTTCACAATCAAACGAGCTGTATCTTATTATTTATTTATGAACCTAAAACTAGCATACTAGGATGCCAGCACCAGTCCCTTGGTGACACTTGCCTGGGACTGAAATTGGGAATTTATTACAAGTTGAATTTGATCCATTAAAAGTTGCCTAGATATGGATATAGAACTTGGCAATATAAAAATTAATTAAATTTTTATATTTGTTAATGTGATTTAAAAAAGATTTTGAAAAATTAACCGTCTCAAGTGGAGTATATAACTCAATCCCTCGACTTTAGAAGTATTTTTTTAAAAAAAACAAAGAAAAATCCTAAGTCTTTGCAATTTAAAAATTTATAATAAAATACTGGTTTGGGAAAATAAATCGTGGAGATTGCTTTTCCAATAGCTTGCAGGTGTCTATAATCACGAACTGCAAAGTACCCCATGTACTTAAGTTCTGAATCGTGACTGCAAAATTCAAGTTCTTGTAGCCAAATCAATACAACAACAATTTTATGTTCTTTCCTTTTGCAGGCCTGCTGGAAGAAATTTTAATAAGCAGTGCCTTTGAACAAATTTCTTGTTACTGTTCTTCTTATCTGTTTAATGGTGTGTGTACTAAATTAGTAAATAAATAAACAATGTGAATTACCAATATACATGACGACAGTCCATACCAGCACAACTCTTCTGCCAACAGCACCATCAATGTTCCAGAACCAAAAAGGTATAAAGGTAGCATAAAATATTTCATCTCCAAGTGCAGTGCCCACTACAAATAAATAGTACCAGAACCTATTGTTCACTGTACACACAATTTCATCTTTGCCGCTGCTTTCCCAAGAGCTATCGGTGTCGTAGGAGGACTGTGAACTGCTCGATATGTTACTCGGAATTCTTTTATGTTGTTTTAAATCAAACTCTTCACTCACGTGCTCCAACTTATCAGGATGTAATACTTCGGTTGAGTCATCGCACTGGCGAATATTACTTTTGTAAATTACTCCGAAGAAATTTTGGACTTTCACAACAAGGAGAGGATCCTTTAGATATTCGATAACGTTATCCCACATTTTTAAACGGATAAATATTATTAAAAAGGGCGATATTTTTTAATACAATAGTTTAAAATTGGGCTCAAATATTCAATACTTCTGATCTGAATTCAAATCGAACATCGCTCAATAAATCACCGCAACTTTTCACAAAAACAAAAAATCACGCAATAATTCCCACAAAAAAAAGAATTTATTCAACTAGCACTAAATTCCCTTGCCATTCCCATACTCACTGACCCACTTAGGGACACGAAAAAAGTATCGATACTTTGTGGTAACGAGTACTTTTCCTTTCGATACCGATACTTTTGTACTCGATACTTTGTATTCGATACTTTTACTTATTGAGTACTTTTTGGCAAGTAAGTATCGATACTTTTAAAATTTGGACAAGCGCCTCATATTGTTATGATATATTCAAATTCTTTCCAATCTGTGACTGTGTTTATTTTGCGCTTTGTTTTGTTTCATAGTTATTTATTTAGCGACCATATTGTTAGGAATTGTGATTGATGATTCGCCGTTTATTGTGCTTTTCGCTTGACTGCATTTGATGTATTCAAGTGTAACACTATTATTCTGTCTGTGCTGTGTATACCTATTTGAAACCACGGACCTGAAAAAAAGACGGACGTAACCTCTTCTATAATTATAATATTGAGTGAAGCATGCCAATGGCCACCGTTAACTGCGTGTCAGATTCAAGTAACATTTTAATTATTAATGTGATATTAATGACCACTTTTTAAGTGTCAGAAATCACAGCTATTTTCTTTTCATTATATAATATAGCAATTTGTGAATTTATATGTCCTTTTACTGTTATTATACGTACTATAATAAAATTGGATTGTTTTTCTTTTAATTTTTAACCAGGGGGGGGGGGGGGTTGATCATCGGGCCACAGAGGATCCGATAAGGCCCTATGAAATGTACTCGATACTTTGAAGTATCGATACTTTTGTTTCGATACTTTTACGAGTACGATACTTTTTTACCGATACTACTCATGAGTACAGTATCGATACTTTCTATTCGATATCGTGTCCCTAGACCCACTAAGTACAGACAGACTAATAAGATTAAGTCGAAAGACCACTGACTAGGGATATTCATTTCATATCGATATATCGAATTATAGTTATTGGGGATTATTTGAATCAAATTATCGTCCCCGTTATTCCGAGTGATTGTTTAATTAAATAATCATATAACAACTGATTAAGTATATTTAAATCTAATTGCACCTATTTGTATTCCCATTTTAGATATTGGTGCCAATTCTGGCGTGATTCTCTAAACTTAAAACTAAATTTAACATCAGTCTCTCCTTTTCTTTCTGTATAGAGAATGACAAGGATATACTGCTGTCAAATTTAAGTTTAGGTTTAGAGAATCATGCTAGAATCGACACCATTATCCACATTTAAGACGTTGTTCAGTCGCTCACGACCTCACGCGTGAAGTACCTAAAAATGCCACGGTACCTGGGGTTGGTTATTAGGGATTTTAAACAAAACCAAAAAAGTGAATTAAAATCCCACAAACACAAGCGATTGGAGGCTTCTAATTCAACTTTTTTGGTTTCGCGATATAGAGATAAAAGTTAATAAGAATTCCCAATAACTACCTACTTCGAATTTATTCGAAATTTACCATACGATATATCCAAAAATGCCACGGTACCAGGGGTTGGTTATTAGGGATTTTAATTAACTTTTATCTCTATATCGCGAAACCAAAAAAGGTGAATTGGAAGCCTCCAATCGCTTGTGATTGGGGGATTTTAATTCACTTTTTTGGTTTTGTGATATAGAGATAAAATTTAATAAGAATTCTCAATGGTGTCGATTCTGGCATGATTCTCTAAAGCTAAACTTAAATTTGACAACATTGGTGTCGATTCTGTCGTGATTCTCTAAACTTAAAACTAAATTTAACATCAGTCTCTCCTTTTCATTCTGTGCACTGTTGTCAAATTTAAGTTTAGCTTTAGAGAATCATGCCAGAATCGACATCAGTGTATCCTTGTCATTCTAGACATAGAATAAAAAGGACAGACTGATATTAAATTTAGTTTTAAGTTTAGAGAATGGTGCCAGAATCGACACCAATAACTACCTACTTCGAATTTATTCGAAATTTACCATACAATATATCGAGGGAATCAATGTTTTGACAAAGATATCTTTTATTAGATATATCGATTTATTTATATTCTATATATCGATATATAAAAGCGAATCGAAAAAACTAACGGTGACTCATTGCGGCAGGCATTTCAGTAGGCCGCTTTAGACATAATCTTAGTATTCTGTGGTAGGAACGGAACGTATTATTATATTGATGACCTAAAAGTCTTTGTTACCAGGTCATAAAATAAAAAAAAAAGTAATATTATCGCTGTCAAAAAGTTTTAGGTTGTTTGGTTTTATTTTGCGAGCAAAACAAACTTGCAACTTGATCGGATTCTGATGTTTACAAATAAACTAATTTGGTGAAATAAAGTTAAATTTTTTCTACCCGCATACAATTTGATACAGATCCACAGAAAGTCGTTAACCCTCTCGTAAGTATATTTACAACTCTTATTTAATTTATTATGGTTATAAGTTTCCATTACAATAAGATTATATATCATAGAACCGTTTGATATAAATCGATCGATAGATCTTTTCTGTTAGTATTATTATTAATTAATAGTGTAGTGTTCTGTAATCTTAGGTCTAGTGTAACTCGTTATCAAAATCAATTCAATTATGAAACAAAATTATATCATTCGGAAATTTTATTATTTACCTACCCACATAAGCAAAGGAAACAATAACCTAATTATAATAAATAATTATGAATTGTGTTAGCATAAGAGAAATTATTTAAATACAAATGGGCTACATTATTACTACTAAATTTCCTTACTTTTTTATAGGACACCGTTAATAACATAAAATTGTAAGAAGTTTCAACAATTTTCCATTTAAAATTATACATTGCTGTTCAAATGTTTAAAATTATGTTTTCTGTTCAATATGTTTGTAAAGGCATTTACAAAGTTTTTAGTTGGTAGCTTTTGTATATATTTTATTTTATATACTTAATAAGAAAGTTTATAGTTATAATTCTTATATTTTAAGCATGTAACTGCTTGATGTTTAAATTTAAAGGAAATATAACTATATAGAAAAAAATCCATGCGGACCAGACAGCTGACAGACTGACAGAAAATATAGTCTTTTAGATTTTATTTAACGATGATAACTTGTAAAGTAGATCCTATATTGTCCGAAAACGTGACGTTCTACTACAAAATGAAAGTCATTTTCGGATTCAGCACACCCAGAAACATAAGAATTACGCAAAAAAACCAAAACAGCTTTCAATTATTTTATTATATATTAAGACTTGTATCTTACAGAGACAGCTTTTGATGCTCTGTCACCTCAACTACAATTGTTATGGAGAGGAACATAATATTTATGCATTTTAAACATTCCTGGTAGTAAGTCTTGCATACTGGATTTCCTTATATGCAATTTTTATATTCTTAATTAAAACACAGCGTATCCCTATTAATATTATTGAAATGTAAAACATTTTATGGTCAACATCTGAACAGGTTCAGATAAAACTTGACATATATAGAAACCTGGCATATAATAATATTAATTTATTTTCAGACAATGTTATACCATCCATAAATTGTTAGACAATGTGCTTTAAAAAATATGTTATGGATGGCTGTTTTTATTTCAGAAAAATGTAGGATTATCCAGGTTATGCAAGCTACATTTGACAAAACATATAAAAAAGCTTCATATGCATTTAAATAACATCATTGATTATTGTTTCTTTATCTTAGCATCAAGTGTAATTTTAGTGCAGTGTTTACTGTGACCCATGGGTGTTACTACGAACATATTGGCTCACAAATAAATATATTTAATGCCATTTTTATCCCAATTAAGGTACTGTGACGTCCGAAACGTTACAGCCTCCTTGTTTAGGTAAACTCTTTGCTTTTGCAATGCCTACGGTTGGCAGTTATATTAAAAAGATAATGTCATGATTTTAAGATTTGAAATGAGGAATCGTCTGTCTTTTGATAGAAGGTTCCATTCAAGATTAGATCTTCAGGCACCAAGAATTTCCTCTCGTATTTAGATAAAATACTTTTATATTAGCCTGAATGATAAAACAAAATAAATAATTTATCTCTATCATCTTCTTTCAATTAACCCAAATTAATCCCTTCTGGGTAGAACTCTATATGGTGGACGCGCCGCGTTAGCTTCAAGTACCGCGAGTGAAAAATAATTTTAAATCAAGAAAGAAGTAGTTTTATGAAGATGGAGACCAGGACCACATTCGACGGAAAAGGTGATGTAACCGATTTCTTTCGTCAATTTAATATCATCGCCGCCATCAATAATTTCAACGAGGATACAAAAAGAGTTGTGTTGTCGGCATATTTAAGTGGACCTGCATTGTTATTTTATAAAAATATTAATGAGTCTTGTGAGAAGACTTCTAGAAAAGAAAATTTGTGAGGAATTTCCATCATCGATAAATGCGTTGGAAAAATTTTTCTCACGAAGACAAGGCTTGTCAGAAGAACCATTGACCTTTTTTTATGTATTGGATGAGCTGGCCACAAAAGCGGGAGCTGTCATTGATGACAAATGCTTCATTAGACAGTTCTTGAAAAATGCGAATTTAAATACAAAAAATCTTTTCGCATTTCAGTTATATAGTGATAAAACACATTTAAAAAATATTTTACGTCAAGCACAGGATATTTTCGGAGACGAAAGTGCCGAAATTTGTTGGAATCTGCCGATCCAACCATCGTTTGTTACACCAATGACAAACTTCGAAGCGGCGAAAATTTCGCCTATATTAAGGCATGAAGAAGAACAAGAGAAGGAAATCAACTTCATTTCCTCCCAAAGTGTCCTTTCTCATCCCATTGTCCCTCCCGAACACATGATTCCCCGCACTTTTTGTTCCAGCAATATGAACAAAAAGAAAAAAACAAAGAAGAAGAAGCAAATGAAGAAATTTTTTTATGAAGAAGATTCAATGAAGATGGCTGATAAAGAAATTCACCATTCACAGCCGTCAGAAAACAACAATCAGCATACAAGTGAGTCCAAACCATTAATTAATATAACGTGTCGTGATAAGGAGTTTGTAGGGCTCATTGATAGTTCATCAACGAATTGATGAAAGCGATATGAAGTTG